AGAAAAAAAGTTGAAAGATTGAAATTCCAATCTTAAAGGCAATGTGCTTGCACATTAGAGGAAAGATTTCAAACGAGATTTTCCCATTCATACAAATATCTACTCGGTATTTACAGGCAAAAGAAAAAGAAAAAAAAAAAAAGCCACACACAAAAAAAAAAAAAAAAAAAAAAAAGATGGGAGGGCAGGAGGAAGGCAATGACGTTCTCTCGACAGAAAAAGCACAAGTGAGTGGCTCCTGTTTTATGCCTCATCCTCTCCACTCTGCCTTCCCATGCAGGTCCCTCCAGAAGAGCTCAACAGCTTCATCCCTAACTGAAAAACACAAATCCCATAGAGGGAGGGTTCTAGCAGAGCAGAATTGCTCTATTAGTAGTAAATTAAAAGTTAAACACTTGTCAGGTTAGGGGATTTAGATGAGGAACATGAAGCTGTTTTATTAAACTAATTTCTTCATTGAGTGCAGATTCCTGTGCATTTGGAATCATGCTCTTACAGTTTTATCTTTGAGAAGTAAAAAAGATTATTTCAATGGGCTAAGGCAGGTTTACTTTCCTGGAGTTCTTTGGAATGGATATCTTGCATGATTGAGCAGAGCTTTGTTCAATTCTCAAAGCAATTTACTGGGATTGAGAACAAAATTTTTGGTAGAGCAAGTTGTTCAGTCCTGGATGATTACTTCTTATTTCAAAACAATTACAATAAAGAGAAAATGGGTTATGTTCCCGTAAAAATATGACTCTTTCCAAGCAGCAGCAAAGAAACACATGGATACACAATTATAGCTGACTAAAGAAAACAAAGACAGTCCACATTTTACCCAAAAGTGCCAAATTAAAACTCACTGCTTCTTCGTTTTTAATAATTTCAAAGAGCTATATAAAGTAGGATACATCCCCCACATTACAATCAGTAATGTGCTTTTTCCCATTCTGTGTTATTGGTTCAGTTCTGTGCAGGCTGGAAGTAGATGGTGCAATGCTGAACCACAACACAAGCAGAGCAAGGGTATTGCTTGGGACTGAACCTCAGATTATTGGATCAAATAAAATGGAAAGCCATTGCTTTGCTCTGTACTTATTCCACTGACAAAATACTTTTGCCAGCTCTGGAAATAGGAACTTTTAGTTGAAAAACTTTGGGCTGTGTTCCTCATACAACTGCATTCCATTTGCTCTCTGGAACTGCAAGTGGGGGAAGGAAAGCAGCCTCAGTTTTCAAAGGTTTCTGCAACTGTAAGTGAAGCCTATTTGAAAAATTGAGACCTCACCAGCTTCTGTCTGAGGAGGGAAAGCAGGAGATCAATTCATTTAAAGTCTGTGATAAGGTTATTGAATAAAATGAAATACAATAAAAATCATTTAGCAGCCAGAGAAAAATGTAGAGACACAGAGATTTGAACTCTCAGGCTCTTCATTCAAGTAATCAAATAGTCAGCAGAGTTTTCACATTTACATATATACAATTTTCTAAAAGCAACACGTATCATTCCAATTGGTTAGTGACTTGTTGGTACCCAGTTCATTGGTTAGTAGTTGCTAGAGTGTGCTCGTCAAAACTTTCTTCCCTAAAGATCTTTACATTCCTTTTCATTGGTACAAGGATGGTTCTCACCATTACAAATTCCTTCCTCACAGTTACTTGTCAGGCCAGCTGTTAGCCGTACTTAGCTGAAGTACCAAGCCTCAGCCATGATTTTACAAGGGTAACAAGGCTCTTATTTTATAAGGCTTTACCTACATGCAACAGCATTGCAATTAATTAGTGCTAAATCTGGTAGGCAATTTTTGGATTATGAGCATACCTGTCTATAAAGAGCAAAATGAGACAAACAGCTTGGTTTGCAGACTAGAACAAGCACCCATCAAGTGATTATTTTCTGTCCATGAACTAGAAACTGTCTCAGAGAATGACAAATACTTGGACTCCACCATAGCTTGCCTTACCTTCTGAGCCAGTTTTGAATTGCCTGCCCTACCTTGGTGTGTCCAGCCCAGCAATAAACTCACACTTAGAAAATCAGAAAAATTGCAGATCAGTTCTTTCAGCAACATGCCAGCTATATGGTGGTTTTCACACTCTCTCTTTCTCTCCAGGAGATAGATCTTTTATATAAATTAATTAGGTACAGTAGAAGTGCTGCTGGTTGAATATTAAAGCATCTGCTTTTGCTGCCCATTTGTACCAAGGAGCATGTTGAAATGCTAGATTGCTGCAGATTTTATGCCAGCCATGTACAAAAAAAATTACTTGCAAATGATGTTGACATTATCTGCCCTCCTGTACTGAAGCCATTCATCAGATGTCTTACCTCTGCCATGTGTCACTTGATTCTCTCTGAATTATTCTGCTAGGTCACAAAACCTGCTTATTTTAGTTTTTAGAAGATTGTTACAGTGTTTTTTACCCTCTTTCATACTCTTCAAATGACTCTAGCATCTAACTCACAACTAAACAGCAGAATATATTAACTTACCACCTCAGAATGAAAAACAAAGTTGAGGAAAATGGATTTACTTTTACAAAAATATAACCTTGCAAACCTTTTTTGGGGCAGACAACATGTTTTCATTTTGTGCTTGCCAACAGCAGGGGAGTTCTGGTCTGGGACTGGATTTGCAGATGCCCTCTTAAATACACAGAAAATTATACAGGGGAAAGGAATTCAAGGGAGAAACTAGAAATGGATTTTTGTGCATACAAACAAGATAAGCCCCAGGTAAGAATCTAGTACCTTAGTTAAAGAGTGACAAATACATTAGGAAGGAGAAGCTAGAAGTGACAGGAACAGCAATTGTGAAGGAGCAGAGACCATAGAAATACCTTGCCTTAAGAATAATCAAACAGTTAGGAGAGGTTTGGACCATGACCAGCAGATCAAAAAGTCCTGGCCAACTGGCCATGGGTGAAGAGTTCTCCATGAGGAAGATGGCTTTTTTCTTCCCATACGCCCACTCCCTTATTTTAAAATCCCACTGACCCAACTAAGGGAGTACACACAGCCATAGTGGATGTTCAGCTGATTATAATATGAAGTGGGCAGGTAATGATTATGTATTATGTGTCCTTAGAAACTGCTTAGATATGTAAAACCTTTTCTGTATAAATAGAAAGCAGGAGTCTGCAACTCCTTGCACATGTATTTGGAAATGATTCCACATGTGTCCAGCACTGCAATAAATACCCTTCTTTTCATGTTTAGTTGAAGAGTCGTCTGTCTGTACATCAACTATTTAGGAAATTGAGTGACATATAAATAAACATATACATCTGAGTTCTTTAGAGTGATGTCACTTCTACTACATGTCTGCAAGCATATGGTCTGGCAATTAATGGTGATTATAAGTGCTGTGATACTACTCTGGGCAGTGACTAGCACTTGATATTGTTGAAGTTTTAAGTAATTTTGCCTAATAATGTTAATGAAGTATATACTACTAGCTGGAGTATATCAATCTTTTCCCTTTCATCACAATATATATAAATTCATCACCATAAAAATTTACTAAAGCCAATTTTTGCACATTTCCCCCCCTACTTCTCCTTACTAGCCTGATCTCTGGAGGTGGCATGGCCTTTCATAAAGCAAATTGTGTCTGTAAGTGAGATTATCACATGCTTCACAGAAACATGTTCTCTGTGTCCTTGAGAGCAAAGGATCATTTGGTATCAAAGTGCAGGAAAACTGTGAAGTGAGTAATGAAGCAATGACAAGTATCAGGAACATAATCTAAATGGAGAGCTGCCCCATTAAAGCCACTGGTTAACTATGCACAGGTTTAAGGTTGTTACAAGTGGTGACAGCAATTACGTGCCTCATATTTTTAGATTAAGGGAGTTGGTTGAGCTTGCAGCCTTCTCTACAAATGACTGAAAGCACAGAAGAGGTTCCCAGAGGATAGACTGGGGGAAGGGCAGGAAAAATTTTGAATTTGGGGATTTCTTAAAGGATCAGGTTGGAGCAGCCACAGATCATGCTGCTTTTACTTAAACAGGAGCTGGATACACATCCAGGACCACCCCAGGCCTGTGGGAGCAGCTCTCTGCAATTTTCACAGGTGAATACTGAATATATAACTGAAATACTGATGCCCAGAGACACCCTGTGTCTGGAAATCAAGCTATCTATAAGCAGTAGAATAAAAATGAGGTTTCCCCTCTCCATGACCAGCTTCCCCACACTGAACTGCAGTCTTGAGGTGCATCACTGATGGAGCATTAACCTTCTTTTTGACCACAGCCCTTTGCCAGTCCTTCTGCAGTCTCCTTGCACAGAAAAGCATCCAAATAACATCCCCTTGTATCTGACCAGGATAAATAAGCTGGTTTATGGCAGGAGCAGGGCAATGTGTCCTTGTGAGGAGTGTCTGGTTTGGCTACCAACAGCCCTGACCATGTCAGGCAAGAGAGTCTGGGCACAGGTTCCCCTTCCTAGGGTGCCTCCAGCAGAAACATGTTAATTATTGTCCTTAAAAACCTTCCACAGCTGGGAAAGTGGAATAGCAGAGGCCTCATCTGTTCATTAATTTGTCATATGTGCTTCACCTTCATTTGTTCTTGGCAATGTTTTGCATAAGCACACACAGGTTTCCAAGCTGAAAATGCGCTGGAAAATGTTGGGGTTACTCTATGCAAGTAAAATACCAAATCAGCTACACCAGCTTCAGGGCTTCACATCCTTTCAGAGCTCAAACACCCACTCATTTATTATTCTATTTGGAAAATCTTGCATGGTACTCAGACTTCCTCCCTCTGGGGGAAATCAGCATATGGCAAAGGCAGGATTAGAGCAGTAAATGTATTTGAGTGAAGTCCTGTTCCACGGGTTTAATTGCTCTGAGGTGAAGTTATGATTTGATGGAGGATCTATTTGCTGGAGGATATGTTCAAACAAATCAGTGAGTTACTATGGCTAATTTTAAGTGCAAGTTCCAGAGGTATCATTCAGCTTCTTTCTGGAGAGAAGGAGGAGAATATGGAGCACACTGCACAGCTCTATGTGAATTGTAATGAGACACTTGTTTACTACCACATCCCAAGTTCAGAGAAGCAATATAGCATTAATAAATTATTTTAGCAATAAGTCCAATGCTGAATGCATGCTACTGAACACTTTTTTTCAAGTTATCATTTGAGTCTTGCAGCCTGCAGAAATCATTGCAGATGAAAATTCTCCTAGACAGTTTCTTCTAGTTTCTTCTTTGTGCCAGCTGCTGGGTGATCTTTCTACTCTTGTGTACATCACAGACTCTAATTATCAGACCTACCCCTCAGATCACTGGAATTCACTTCATTGACAGGGAACAATAACTGACAGTGCCATGTCCAGTCTTTTTTAAAACATGTTTAGGGGTGGTGATTCCACCACCTCCCTGGACAGATGATTCCAGCACTCCTTCAGTTTGTGTGCGTGGCTGAGATCTCATTTGTGGACTTGAAGCACCCTCTTGTGTCAGTTTTAGTGATTGCTGGTTTGGCAGTCTCCTTTCTCTTCCCTACTCCCCCTCCCATTACAAACCCAGAAATACCATTTTAACTTTCAGATATAATAGCTTGTATATTTGTAATTATTGAAAATGGGGCCGGTTTCTTCTAAAATTCAAGTGGGAAATTTCAATTCTCTATTGAAATGTATATTGAAAAACTGGAAACAGATAGGAGGAGACCCACCAAGGAAACCTAGACTAATCCAACATTGCCATCAGTGGTGGCCAGTATACCAGCTAAACCACCAGGCTAAGTGGCCAGAGAATGGTACCTGAGTTTAGGGAGGGAGAGAGGGAAATGGAATTAATTGCCTTATGTGGATTTATTCTTTTATTTGGAAAACCATCTGAAACTGCAAAAGGAGTGGCCAGTGTTGGGGTGAACCTGGGGTAAACAGAAAGTCTCTCATGGCCTGGTAATGGTAAAAGTACCTTTCTCTTTCAATTGATCTTGAGGTGTGGGTGAGATGCCTCACCTCTTCCCTATAGAGAAGATCTGGAGAGACTACCTAAAGTATTTGAAACCATTCTCAAGATCCAGACTGACTGGATATACAGGTTCTGCTAAATAATCTAGTCGATTCTACAGAAACTCCAGACTGCTAGGAGGGAGGTGAACAGTACAGACACAGAGGGCAGGCTACCAGGAACTGTTGAAGAGCACTTTCCCTCCTTGGACCCCTATTGGGACCCCAATACCAGGGCAGGGAAGGATTTCCTGGGAAAATATCAAAAATGGATATTATTTGGCTTTAAACATGCAATGCCAAGGGAAATCAATTGCTCTAAACTTTATGAGGTGAAATAAGAACCTCATGAGACTCTGACTGCATCTGCAGAATGCCTAAGGGCGGCAGCTTCCAGGAGATACACAAATATTGATCCAGAAAAAACAGAGGAAGGAAAAGAAACAAAAATAAACAGGCAAAACCAACAGAGCAATAGTATCTCTAGTCAGAGAAACTAGGGGCCCAGCCAGCCAAAAAAGCCTGGCCAGAAGAAAGGAGCTGCTCCTCACTGTGCCCCCAATTCTCACTGGAAACCCTGGTCCGGCTCTCATTCATCCCAATGATCCCAAAGTCAGGGGGACTGGGGGGCAGAGGCAGGTCAGCAACCACCCCAGACACAAAACAAACAAACAAAAAAAACCCCAAAATTTGTATGAGATCAAAAAAAACATCCCAATAGAGTAATTTTTCAGGAAAATTCACAATCCACAGGAAGTGCTTTTTTCATACTACTATGAAAGAAAAATTATTTCTCTTGACAACATAAAATTTCACTCAAAAAACCTTTTGTTCTGATGCATAATTTAGAAAGCCGACCACGATGACAGATTTGCCCTCTCCTTCAATACTTTTGTTTGGAAGACACAAATCAGCAGCCTGATTACAATGTGATTCAATCACAGTATTGACCTTTGAAATGCAGAGTAAACTACTCATCATCATCATCAGAAAATGGCAATATTTCTAGTGGCTCGGTGTCAGGCTCAGAAGCAGCAAGGCCTGTAGAGAAGAAGGGAAGGAATTTGCCTTCCTGGCTGCTGCCCTCAGCAATGCTGAAAGTGTACAAAGCTACTGCCCTAAAGACATCATAAAAAGAAACCTGCTTGGCTGGGATGTTCAAGAAGATCCCAATCTTTGACAAACAGCCAGTCACAGTCAGACAGGTCCAAGGATTCGTGCAGGCCAAATAATCTTGCCCATCTACACACGCAATAACCCAGAAGCCGTTCTCAGGACACAGAGTCAAAGTCCCTTTGCGAGTCACAGATTCACAGGCAATACCCAAGGCCCAGTTTCTTCTTGTCCCAACATTTACTTCCCAATAGTGTTTCCCAGAAGTGTATCCTTCCTTTGCCAACACAAACAGATGGGAATCAAATCTCTTCTCATTTCTGAACAAGAATCGGATGACACCAGTATCTTTCACTCTCCTCCCATCCGCAGAGATTTCCAATCTGGGATGAGCCGTGTCAGCATCCAGGATGACATCTCCTGCAATGGTCAAGTCAGGCCATGATGAGCAGAAAACACGAACTCTGCTTTTCTGAACCTCTGCCTTCATCCCTCTCTCATTTGTCCTTCCCTTCCCCCACCTCCATGCTCAGGTGCGTTCTCGTCTTGGGACACTTCAAGCTTCTCCCTCCCCTCCTGCCATGTCCCTTCCTGACAGAGAGAGTGGCAACCAGCACGCACCAAATGCCTCAAGGCACTCCTGCAGTGCTCCTGGGACTGCAGCAGGCAGCTCCAAGGAGGAGGCTGTGGTGCTCAGCTTCCTCTGCCTCCATCTCTGCATTGCTGGACGGGGGTGGCATGAGGAAAAGGACCAGGAGTTGGCAGCAGCTGGAATTAGGTTTGGATTAACTCCTTGCCAAATTCTGAAGGGGATTTTTGAGTTTTAAGCATTTTTTCCCTCAATAACAGGAGAGCACCAGTGTACGATCCTGCTTGCACATTGATTTGTGGTCTGCTCTGCCACAAGGAAATGTTTCTTGCCTCAGCTTTCAGCAGAGGATGGGAGGAACCCCTGGTAGGACTCAAGCAAGGTGCAATGTCACAAACTGAGGTCCTCCAGCTCAATTCTGATTGAAAGGAGAAGGAGCTGCTCCTGCTGTGGAGCAAGATCAGCTCCAGACACTTTTCCTGAAAGGCCCAAGAGCCAAATCAGAGGTAGGAAAAGCCAGCTGTGCCTGTTCCCCACAGCTGAGAGGGCTCCTGACAAACACAGGCAGGCCTTGGGCAGCACATAACAGCAAAAAAAGTCATCCAACCACCCTTCCCTGAGTGTGTTCTTCTCCAAAGAGCTGTCTGAGGGGGTTGGGTGTGTTTTCCAGAGCTGCACACAGGCTCTTGAGTACTCACTTCCTCTTCTCACCTATGCTTACCTTTGTAGGACCGTAGCACTGGAAGGTCTGTGGGAAATGAGAAAAGCAGGAAATAACTGGATTTGTCAAGGCTTGCTCTGGCAATAGAGTAAGACTCTCCCCCCTCAGGGACAATGAGGCCACCCTCATGCTCCCCTACTCCGACACTGACAGTATGGTCAGACACAAGGCTCTAGTGTTGCTGGGGCACTGACAGCACAGTCAAACAAAATGGGATTGTGGATATTTCTTACACATGACACCCATCCCTCTGTCCTTCATGACATTCATGCCACACCCATGCTCTCCTATTCCCCAACCACACACACACAGTGTTCTCTTAACCAGTTCTACTCTCATTTCATCAAAGACTCCCAGAGAATACAGTACATCAGGGTGTGTGATAATTTTGGTTTCTAGACATGGGGCACATGGCTCAAATTTGCTTCCTCTGAGTACTGAGGAGGACTAAAATGTGCTGTGTGATGAGCTCAGCCTCTCTTTCCTTTTCAGATGGGAAAGAGAGGCCAGAGGAATGGCCATACTAAAAAGGAGATGGGCTTTCAGAGAGAAGGACTTGCCAGGAAGCAAAGGTGACTTTCCTGCACCAGTTACCCCTGGAAACCCTTGTCAAAGTGATGGAGCACTGCTGGGCCAGGGGGAAGAGGAGCAGGGCTTGCCCAAGGCCTGAGCCCCTATATTTTGTCTGGGACTCTCACACTCCTGTGGTCCTTCTCTCCCTGAAGTGTCCCACTCCCAGTGCTCTGGGGCACATGGGCTCTGGAAAAAGGAGAGCAAAGACCCTCCCAGCTCAATAGCACTGGTTTGGATGGATTGACTGCTGGAGGGCTGGGGAAAGAGCACAGGTCCTGGGAGATTTCCCAAAGGCTTGGGAAAGGCCTGATGGGTAGGATGGAGGGTTGGGATCAGCCCCCTCCATCTCTCCAAACAGCAGCTATGGGTTGTGGGAGACAACAATGTTTGTTAAGAGGAAGAGAAGTGGGGAAAGCAAGAAGATAATACCAAGGCATGGAGGTGGGCTTCTTTACCATATACTGGGACATAGAGAGCCCACACTACACATTCCCTTCAAAAACAAGGTAATGAAGAGGGACCTTGACCACCTGAGGTCATCATCTCAGTGTTCACATGTCTTTGCAGGTGGGGACACAAGAGCTACGTGCCAAGAAAATCTGTCCCTCTCCATCTGCTTTGAGGAGCTGTGTACAAGAAGCTCACAGGACAATTTGCCTGTAAAGCAGCTTTTGCCTTCAGGGAAATGAAGTTCTGCTGGAAAAGGTTTTGTTCACCTAAGTCATATTTTGTGGACCCCAATATGGTCTGCAAAGTTTCTTCCAGAGTTTGGATTTTTTGGGAGATCTGCTGGATGTCCATCAGCTGCATGGATTCCAAGACCCTTGAGGTATTTTCCTTCACTGTCCTTCCTGTAAGAGCAGACTGGTGTCAGTGGGACAGTGGTTTTGCCTCACCTGAGATGAGGTACGGTACCACTAATTACACTGCACCTTTCTTCTTAGAAAGCACCAAGAAGACACAGTGCTTTCACTCTCTCTAAATGTGATGGAGAGACAAGGGACATTACTGACTCCCAGGGCCACTTCACCATCAAAGGTGTTCCACTCTCATGGGACAAAAGAGCAGCTCCAAGGAAGTTCTGCCCCATGTACCCACACAGAAGAGGCAAAGAACTAACTCACAGGACATTTGCAGAGCAGCTCCTGCCTTTTGAGAGGTGAAGGCCTGCTGAGGAATGGCCTAGCTTACCTAGCTCATTCTTCTTGTCTGCTCTTATCATCTGTAGGTCACGCTGTGTGGACACCTCCATGTTCTGGAATGCTTCCTGCAGGGTTTGCATTTGCTGGGAGAGCTGCAGAAGGTCCTTCTTCCACATGGATTCCATGGTCCTTGTATTCTCCTCCACTGTCCTTTCTGTGAAGAAAGAACCATCTCACTGGAACAGACTCGCTGCTGTCTTGAGGGGAACACCAACAATCTGCAGTGACAATGCCTGAAAACTCTGATTTAAATTCCATGCCAGAGCATCTTTCCTTGGAAGTCTCCCAGTTCCTCTGGACCTCCCTAAAGGCTTGACCAAGGCCTGCTGGGCAGCACTGAGCCCAATTCATCTCTCCAGACAGCATCTGTGGGCCCTGGGAAGCAATGGTCTTTGTCACAAGGAAGGTGTGGTGGGACATCCCCTACCTGTGGCAACCACATTTCTCTCTCAGGATTTTTTCATAGAGCAGCACAGAGAGAAAGAAAGAGAAAAAATTCTATTTCTGCTCCTTGTTTTTCTCATGTGGAATGTGCTTGGAGAATTGTTTACCTGGGGTGATTACTTGATTGAATTCTGGTGAGATTGTTTGAGCCTGATGGCCAATCCAACCCACCTGGGGCTGGACAGGGTTCAAGGGGAAACCTTAAGGAGTATCAGACAGTGAGAGAACTCAGAATTCAAACTCTCTTCAAGGACAAGGGAGAGAAGAGGGACCTTGAGCTTCTCTGTTCCATGGCAAGGATGACAAATCTATTCCCCATTTAAGGACTCTCCTTCCCCATCCCCTTTGAGGAGCTGTGGAGGATGTCCTCACAGCAAAGTTTGCCTGTAAAGCAGCTCCTGCCTTTTGAGAGATGAAGGCCTGCTGAGGAATGGCCTAGCTTACCTAGCTCATTCTTCATGTCTGTTCTTATGGTCTCCAGGTCACGCTGTGTGGACCCCTCCATGTTCTGGAATGCTTCCTGCAGGGTTTGCATTTGCTGGGAGAGCTGCAGAAGGTCCTTCTTCCACATGGATTCCATGGTCCTTGTATTCTCCTCCACTGTCCTTCCTGTGAAGAAAGAACCATCTCACTGGAACAGACTCGCTGCTGTCTTGAGGGGAACACCAACAATCTGCAGTGACAATGCCTGAAAATCCTGATTTAAATTCCATGCCAGAGCATCTTTCCTTACAACTCTCCCAGTTCCTCTGGACCTCCCTAAAGGCTTGACCAGGGCCTGCTGGGCAGCACTGACCCCAATCCATCTCTCCAGGCAGCATCTGTGGGCCCTGGGAAACAACGCTCCTTGTCACGAGGAAGGTGTGGTGGGACATCCCCTACCTGTGGCAACCACATTTCTCTCTCAGGATTTTTTCATAGAGCAGCACAGAGAGAAAGAAAGAGAAAAAATTCTATTTCTGCTCCTTGTTTTTCTCATGTGGAATGTGCTTGGAGAGTTGTTTACCTGGGGTGATTGCTTGATTGAATTCTGGTGAGATTGTTTGAGCCTGATGGCCAATGCAACCCACCTGGGGCTGGACAGGGTTCAAGGGGAAACCTTAAGGAGTATCAGACAGTGAGAGAACTCAGAATTCAAACTCTCTTCAAGAACAAGGGAGAGAAGAGGGACCTTGAGCTCCTGCAGAGAACACATGGAGGTGTTCCAGTGGCAAGGATGACAAATCTATTCCTCATTTAAGGACTCTCCTTCCCCATCCCCTTTGAGGAGCTGTGGAGGATGTCCTCACAGCAAAGTTTGCCTTTAAAGGAGCTCCTGCCTTTTGAGAGGTGAAGGCCTGCTGAGGAATGGCCTAGCTTACCTAGCTCATTCTTCATGTCTGCTCTTACGGTCTCCAGGTCACGCTGTGTGGACACCTCCATGTTCTGGAATGCTTCCTGCAGGGTTTGCATTTGCTGGGAGAGCTGCAGAAGGTCCTTCTTCCACATGGATTCCATGGTCCTTGTATTTTCCTCCACTGTCCTTTCTGTGAAGAAAGAACCATCTCACTGGAACAGACTCACTGCTGTCTTGAGGGGAACACCAACAATCTGCAGTCACCATGCCTGAAAACTCTGATTTAAATTCCATGCCAGAGCATCTTTCCTTACGACTCTCGCAGTTCCTCTGGACCTCCCTAAAGGCTTGACCAAGACCTGCTGGGCAGCACTGACCCCAATCCATCTCTCCAGACAGCATCTGTGGGCCCTGGGAAACAATGGTCTTTGTCACGAGGAAGGTGTGGTGGGACATCCCCTACCTGTGGCAACCACATTTCTCTCTCTCTCTCAGGATTTTTTCATAGAGCAGCACAGAGAGAAAGAAAGAGAAAAAATTCTATTTCTGCTCCTTGTTTTTCTCATGTGGAATGTGCTTGGAGAATTGTTTACCTGGGGTGATTACTTGATTGAATTCTGGTGAGATTGTTTGAGCCTGATGGCCAATCCAACCCACCTGGGGCTGGACAGGGTTCAAGGGGAAACCTTAAGGAGTATCAGACAGTGAGAGAACTCAGAATTCAAACTCTCTTCAAGGACAAGGGAGAGAAGAGAGACCTTGAGCTTCTCTGTTCCATGGCAAGGATGACAAATCTATTCCCCATTTAAGGACTCTCCTTCCCCATCCCCTTTGAGGAGCTGTGGAGGATGTCCTCACAGCAAAGTTTGCCTTTAAAGCAGCTCCTGCCTTTTGAGAGGTGAAGGCCTGCTGAGGAATGGCCTAGCTTACCTAGCTCATTCTTCACGTCTGTTCTTATGGTCTGCAGGTCACGCTGTGTGGACACCTCCATGTTCTGGAATGCTTCCTGCAGGGTTTGCATTTGCTGGGAGAGCTGCAGAAGGTCCTTCTTCCACATGGATTCCATGGTCCTTGTATTTTCCTCCACTGTCCTTTCTGTGAAGAAAGAACCATCTCACTGGAACAGACTCACTGCTGTCTTGAGGGGAACACCAACAATCTGCAGTCACCATGCCTGAAAACTCTGATTTAAATTCCATGCCGGAGCATCTTTCCTTAGAAGTCTCCCAGTTCCTCTGGACCTCCCTAAAGGCTTGACCAAGGCCTGCTGGGCAGCACTGAGCCCAATTCATCTATCCAGACAGCATCTGTGGGCCCTGGGAAACAACGCTCTTTGTCACAAGGAAGGTGTGGTGGGACATCCCCTACCTGTCCCTCAGACCCCACTGTGGTCTCAGGAATGTTCGCTGGGCCTCAGCCTTGGTCAGTGGATCCCGAGATTGGCCGTGGGCCCTGTGCCTGCCCAGGGAAAGATGCCTGGACATTTGGCAGAGAGTGCTGGTGCTGCCAGTGCCCTCCCCTGCGCCCACCTCGTGCACTGGCCATGGAGATGCCCCCAAGCTGAGCAGGTCACCATGGGGTGGGGCTCATCAGGGCTCTTCGACTTGGAGGTGTTTGAGTGCCATGGAGCACAAAGCTGGTTTGCCATGTGAGGACTGTCCTCCTTCATCCCCTTTGAGGAGCTGTGGACAATGAGCTCACAGGACTGTTTGCCTGTAGAACAGCTTTGCTCTTCAGAGAAATGAAAGCCTGCTGGGGAATGGCCTGGTTTACCTAGCTCATGCTCCAAGTGTATTCTGATCATCTGAAGGTCACGCTGTGTGGTCTCATATGTGTTCAGGAAGTTTTCCTGCAGAATTTGAATTTGTTTGGAGATTTCATGGTGGTCCTTCTCCAGCCTGGATTCTAAGGTGCTTGTTTTTTCCTCCACTGTCCTTTCTGAGAGGAAAGAACATTTTCACTGGGATAAAATCATGGTAATGATGATGCCCAAAAGCTCTGATATAAAATCCCTGTCAGGGCATCTCTTAGGGCTCTCTTAGGCTTCTCCCCCTTCTGTGGGTCTTCCTAATGGCTTGCCCAAGGCCTCCTGGGAAGCATGGAGGGCGGGAATGATCCCACTCTGTCTCTCCAAGGTACCTCTTGGGAGGTAATACTCTTTGTCATGAGGATTGTGCGGTGCCACAGAGCACCAAAACGGTTTCCCATGTAAGGGCTGTCTTTCCCCATCCCCCCTGAGATGTGGTGAAGTTCACAGGACAGTTTGCCTGTAGGGCAGACTTTGCCTTCAGAGGTATGAAGGCCTGTAGTGGAAATGCTTCTGCTCACCTAGTTTGTTCTCCAGGTCTGTTCTGGTCATTAGAAGGTCACGCTGTATGGCAACCTTCATGTTCTGGAAAGTTCGCTTCAGAGTTTGAATTTGTTGGGAGAGCTGCAAGAGGTCGTTCTGCCATGTGCATGCTATATTCCCTGTGACATTTGCCTCCACTGTCTTTCCTGCAAAAAAAAAGACTGGTGTCACTGGGAAAATGATTTTTCTCCCTTGAGGTGAGGTCTTGTCCCAATAATGACACAAAACTTTCTTCTTAAAAAGGACTGAGGAGATGTTGTTCTTTCGCTCCCTTCTACAACAAGGGAGAAAAGAGGGACCTTGGCCATCTCCAGCTGCCACCTCAGCATCAAAGGTGTTCCACATGCATGGGACATAAGAGCTGCTACCAAGGAAGTTCTGCCCATTCTGATAAAGGGCAAAGGATTAACTCACAGATCAGTTTACCTGTAGAGCCAGATTGACCTTCAGAGAGATGAAGGCCTGCTGGGGAATGGCCCTGCTCACCTAGTTCATCCTTCAGGACTGTTCTGATCATCTGAAGGTCACGCTGTGCGTACACCTGGGTGTTTTTAAAAGCTTTCTGCAGAGTTTGGACTTGTTTGGACACTTCTTGGAGGTCCTTCTTCCACATAGATTCCAAAGTGTTTGTAGTATTTGCCTCTATTGTCAATCCTATAAAGAAAGAACAGTGTAATTGGGACACTTTCATTACCTTCTTGAGGGAGAGAGAGCAGTGTCCTGATTTAAATTCACTGCCAGAGAATCTCTTCAGGTTTTCCCTTTGCGTATTCTTGATCAAAAAAGCTATTCCCTACTTCTCCATCTGTTTTGAGGAGCTGTGGTGGGCAATCACACGGGACAGTTTGAGGGATTTGGGTTAGTGCTGCCTGTAGAGCATCTTTTGCCTCCAGGGAGAAGGAGGCCTGCTGGGGAATGGCCCTGCTCACCTAGTTCCTTCTCCAGGTGTGTTCTGAGGAGCTGAATATCATGCTGTGTGGACTCCTGCTCATTCTGGAAAGCTTCCTGCAGAGTCTGAATTTTTTGGTAGAGTTGCTGGTGGTTCTTCAGCCAAACAGTTTCCAGGGAGTCCACTCTCCTTCCTGTGAAAAAAGACTGATGTCACAGAGATAACTATTTTTCCTCCCCTGAGGCAAGGTCTTGTTCCACTAGTGACGTAGGCCTTTCCTCTTAGAAAAGACCAGGAAGGTGCTGTTCTTTCACTGCCTTCAAGGACAAGGGAGAGAAGAGGGACCTTGACCACCTCCAGTTGCCATCTTCAGTAATCAAAGGTGTTCCACTGGCATGGGACATAAGAGCTGCTCCCAAGGAAGTTCTGAACAAGGCACACACTCTAAGGACTAACTCACAAGTCACTTTTGTGGAACAGAGTTTGCTTCCAAAAAGATAAAGGACTGGTGGGGAATGACCCTGCTTGTCTGTTGTTTTTTGTTTTTTGGGTTTTTTTTCCTTTTTCTTTCTTTATGCAGGGAAGGCACAAGAAATTAAATTCAGTTTCCTCATGAACTGCCTATTTCTAATTTACACTCTCCAGATTTCTCTTTCCTCAGACAATCCTTTCTAATTCAGCAGCCTTGGAAAAGAACTCGGCCCTGAAAAACAAAGATAGGTCCCCCATTCTGTGGGCACTGGACGAGGTAAATGAGACCTCTCCCCAGCCATGGCTGCAGAGGCAGAGATCTCTGGCCAGGCCCTTGCCAAGGTGGGAGGCACCACTAACACTTCTAGGAAAAAAAGTCCATATCTGATGAATGAGTTCCACTGGAAGCACTGGGGAGAACGAGACCAATGGAGGCAGAGGAAGGGACCCTTCTAATTGACCCCAGGAAAAGTACCCCAATCCCATCCTCCTTCCTCCTCTTGCCTGTAGATACCATGGTCCACCCAAGCTCTCAACTGCATGTGGAGGCATCTCCCTTCTGCCTCTGGATGAGAGATGGCAAAATTCTACCTGCAGGACAACTCAGAATTTGAGCTGAGTGGAGCTAATGCATCTGTGAACCAGAAGTAGACTAAATGGTATTTCATCCTATTTGTCAGAGAGTAGTCTTACAAGAGGCTGAGAAATTACATACTGCAGCCTCACTTCTAATAAATGAGGTTCTGTGAACCAAGAGGCCTTACCTTGAAATATCAGAACAGAACCAGCAGCCAATGCGAGAAGGAATAAAGAGAGTTGTATCCATGATGCAGAGACCCACTGAGATGCACCTGGAAAAACAGAACCTTTGGGAAAAAAAATCTGAGTGTCATCTGGCAATGTTCAATCTTACTCTTAAACTTAAGCACCCACCCAAAGAGATTTTGTGGAGATAAATGGAGAAATAGTCCTGTACAGGTGGTCAGAGCCTGCCTTCCCTCGAGATGTCACATCCCTAGGGGCAAGAGGGAGCCTGCTCATTTCACACTGCAGCCTGTCCTGCCTGCAGTGGTGCTCTGGGATGGGTCTGGCCGGACTGGAGAGCTGTTGTCCTCCCTGGCACTGGAAAGGGCCTCACAGAGCTCCTGAGACAGTCCAGCAAAGACTTCTGGGGACAATGGAACTCACCTGAGATGAGCATGGTAGTTTTCTTCTCCACCTGCACCAGGGGGGTTCAGGATTTGACAGGTGAATTTTCCCACTTGCTTTCCTGTAACTGTGACTCAGCTACACACACTGAAGAACTTCTCACTGTCCTGGTTACTTTCAGTGTCTGCAGAGAGCCCCTGCCCATCCTCAGTAACCCACTGGACAACAGGTTCGGGAAACCATCTGTGTGATCTGCAGCCAAGCTTGAGCCCTTGCCCTTGGGGGCCCTGAATTTCAATGGACTTCATCAGTACTTTAAAGGCAGGAGAATTTGTTAGTGGGAGAAGTTTGTTTCCTTGAAAGCAGCTCTTCCTTTGATTCACAGCTCTTTCTTAACCCAGAGTTTCCTGACAGTTTCTGTCAGTCCTTCACACAACCTTTTCACTGGTCTTTCTGTCATCCCGCACTCCATCTGCCATAAATGCCAAATTTCCTTTGGCTTAGAAAGAACTATGGTGTGGGATGGATTTGCTGCTCAGCTCCCCACTATTTCATGGAGCAGGTAGGGAGAAGGTGTGTGGTTTGTATTCTTCTTTTGGAATGGCTCTGTAGGACCCCTGTCCAGTTTTGAGGATTGGTAAAGCAGGACACAGCACAGTAAATACCAGGCACCTCCCCATTCCATGCTGGAACTACAGATGGGCACAGATGGTCACTGGACTGCACCAAAGCTTCACCAGTGTGATAAGGTGGGATGCACCACACATATTTCAGCATCATACTCCTGGTCAAAGCTGGATTTCATAGGAATTCATCCTGTCTAATAGTAGGAAATAGATGCTGTCTTGCAGCTTTTTCTCTCTCCTCTCCCAAAAGCATCTCTAATCCCCTTTGGATGAGGGGATTTAGATGTGATCTTAGGAAGAAATTCTTGACTAAGAGTGAGGCGCCGGCACAGCTTGCCCAGAGCAGCTGTGGATGTCGCATCCCTGGAAGGGTTCAAGGCCAGGTTGGTCAGCATTTGTTCCTGCCCATGGCTTGGAAGTTCAAATGAGAAATTCTTTAAGGTCCGTTCCCACTCATGCCATTGCCTAAGATTCCCTGATTCTGCCATTCTATGCTTTTCTTCAGCAGTGAATCAAGGTTGATCAGCTCCATCTGATGTTATCAATACCTGCACACAAATGATGCTGACTGTCCAGCTGGGGGGAACTGGCAGCACAGAACATCTCCTTAACCTTACCCCAGCTGAAAAGTCACAAGATGAAGGGCTTCATTCCCATCAGTCCCACAGCCAGGGATGCTGAGCACTTGGTGTCTGTCAGGTGGCCTCACGCCTCCCCACCAGGGATTATTACAGCTCCATGTGGGTCAGAACAGGGCTCGGGCTGGGCATGGAGGTTGCAGAACATCTTGACAAGTGGCCCATGCTGGGAATGGGGAGGGAATGTGTTGGGTCATATGAGGGGCATCAGCTGGGGGACAGTGACATTTTGGAGAGCTCATTTCCCTCTGTAAGAGCTTCCCTCCTTCCCTACCTGGCCCAGAAAGTCTCCAGCCTGCAATGCTGAGCTTGGTAGGCGTATCAACAATCTGGTCCCTGGATATCACAGTGCAACTGTACATTCCTTCATCTGCTGGCTGGATGTTCTTCAGTGTCATGGAGACATTCCCAGTGTCAAACCCATCTCTTGGCACTGATGTCCGTCCGTCCATGGTATTTCTGCATTGGTTCACCTCCAAACTGCCTGTATGTGTAAATGTCCTCTCTGTGCCCATCTGTGATTTTTCTTCACTGCACTTCAGGACTGTCCAGTGCCTTTGTGGAAGAGATGGTGCAAGGAGGATTGTATCCTGACCAACAATTCCGACTACATTCTCAGGAGAGGTGAGCTCAAAATTGTCTGTGAGTGAGCATCTGGCTGAAATTAATCAGAAATGCACTGGTATGAAGGAAACAGCTCTAGGAGTAACAGTAGGGAACAACTGAAAGTAATAGATTAGAGGGAGAAAACAGGATGATACAAGATGTACAGGATGGGATTATTTTGGGGAAAAGGAAAAAAAAATAAATGCATAAAAGCATGTCCAGAGCCATTTCATGCAGCTCCCCAGCTGGCCTTGCCCTTTTGCAGCCTGTGTCACCAGCAGCAAGGCGGCTGTGACAATGCCAACTGCCCATGCAGACAGGGAAATGCCCCTGCACTGGGGCAGAGCTGGACAGGGCACAGCTGTCTTGGCTTAGGTCTTCCCTGGCTTCACCAGGGGAGAGAACCTCTGACTTCAAACAGCTGGAATCCCCACGACCAGAGGGGCAGGGCAGCTCTGGCCCTTGTGGAGTTCAAATCAGGGCTGCTCAGGAGACCAAGGCCCTCAGCTCCAGGACTTCTGATCACCTGCAGGCTGGAATCCCCCAGAAAGGAGCAGAACAGCTCATGGCAGCATTACCTGAGAGAGCGATAGCCAGAAGCAGTGGCAGAGCCACCAGCAGCCATCTCCTCTGCTCCATGCCTGCAGTCCAAGGGGTGGGATGATCCCACAGCTGACCTGGAACAGGCACAGAAGGGAAGTGAGAAAAGAAGGGAAATCCTGTCCCAACCCCTTTGGATCTCTCTCCTGGCACTTGTCACCAGATGTGACCCCTGAAGGTGCCAAATCTTGAACAGCTGAGATCAGAAATCAAGAAAACTTCTGGAGATCTCAATTACACTTGCAGTAATTTCAATCTAGCATTCTCCCAGGAAGCTGTGACAGGGAATGCAAGAGAAAATTCTACCCAGTCCCTACTTCCTGCTGTGAAATTTAATGGACACCTTAACACACCAATTTAAATTTTGGGTTGTAATCATAGTATCACAGGCTGGTTGCCTGGGAAAAGAGACCAACCCTCACCTTCTGGGAACAGCTGTGCTGCTGATGCCCCCAGTCCTTGCCACCTGCACCTGAGGAGGCCTGGAGGATGGGAAGACCTTGCTGATCCCTGTGTGCACAGCTGGGATGAAGGGAAAAGATCGGTTCCTTTCCACCCCAACATTCACCACTTGCTCAGGAGAGAAACAAATAACAGAGCTCTGCTTACCTGCCTTAGTCAGCAAAGAGGAGCACTGATATCAGACAGGTATTTTTCCTCTTGCCAGACAAATTTCCAGCGGCAGAAGGGAAGGAAAATGAACAGAAGAATCAGATCCTGAAGTTTAAATGTGGTGTGTCTTTGCCTAAAACTCACTTTGCTGCTTGCAGGTCAAATCTCATCTGCTATAGCAGGGCTTCGTGTTGGTGACGTAGACAATTAGGTGCAAATGGAGCTTTCAATTTCAATGAGAGTTTTAAGATAAGCAGAGATCCAGCTCAATGACCACAAAATATGCCCTGTTTAGAGCCAGAGCTGGATTTCACCTATTGTCAGGTAAGAATGATTGCCACATCTTCAGTCTATAGAAGAAAGGTGAACTTTGATCAGCTCCTTAAGGAAGTAACTTTGAAGAATTAAACTGAAATGAAGCTTAAATATCTGGGGATTAACTTGGGGTGTGACTCTGTTTGAAGATCAAGGATCATTCTTCTGTAAGATTGATGTTTTTGTTGACAGGTTACCTAGGAAATGGAGGTGGGGTTGTCCTGGGACTTTAGAGTCACCCTTTAATGAATTTAACTTAATACGAGAGCAATTGTTTTTCTAGAGAATGACATCTGAAGTACTCTTGAATTCCAACTCAACTTTACCCTTAGTGTTACTTCTCACACCTGTTTCTTCCTCCAAAGTCTGCAAACACACTCTAGTAAACCTGTTTGTCCCTCTCCTCCTCCTGGCTACACGCAGGGTCTCCCTGGTTGTGATCATAGGATTCTCTGCTCACTTCATGTAAAAAAACAACACAAATCCTTTCAGTAGGATCAGGAGTATGATCAGCACTTTCATTCTGTCTAGGAAATAGACAGCTGGAGATTGGGGAAGCTGAGTGGAGGAAATGAGAGTGAACATTATCTTAACAGTGTGCTTATGTTTTAATTTTATTCTTCCATCCTAGGGTCTACAGTTTAGGCTTAGATTACTGTAGTCAGTTTAACACCTCCAGAGCATACTCTGCTTTTTCCAAGATTTGTGAATTCCAAGTTCTTATCTTACAATGAATCACTGTCAAAAACACTTCAAAAACCTAATATATCTGAACACAGGGTATTTTATTTTTAAAAATAGCATGACAAGAATTCACCAATGAGCTCCTATAGTCAAAATCTATAGTCAAATATGGTTATACAATTACATTTTTCCCAAGTTCAGAGTACATCTTCTGGGATGCCACTTTCACTGAAGTCTTCATGACTTCGGTGCTGGTTACTGGAGCACCTTGACTGAGCTGTTACCTCCCAAAAAATTCCATTGTGGGGAAGAGGTCAGACATGAGCCACAATTTATTCTCAAATCAGGGTTTTACTGTAGCAGGTCCCCATTCAACCTTTTTTTCATCAACCTTTTTTCATTAATTTAAGGAAAACGAGGTAGCCACTTCAGAAAGAGAGAAGAGGGGCAGGATTTGGCAGCAGATGAAGAAGCAGTGGCAGACCCTACCCTAGTCCCTGCTTGGGGACCCTGATGGTATTAAAATTCCACCACTGATTTAAAAATCATGTCATATTCAGGATTCTTTGCTTTCACAGAAAGGTAAGCCTGGGGTCTTCCTTAAGAATTAAGCTCATGTTAGATGCACTTGTTTCTGTGACACAGGAGGCAGGAAAGCATAAATGGGGTGGGGTTTTTTTACCTCTTGGTTTAGGGCACCTTGAAGCTGAAGCAGGGAAGTTGGGCTGAACTGCAACATCAACATCAGCAGGGTCTCAGGGGACTGAGCTCCTCCAGGCAGCAAAATGCTGTTTCCAACCCAGCCCCAAGTGAACCAGGCTGATGGAAAAGCTCCTGCTAATTGTTTGAAGCAGAGAGCCATTTTCTACAAAATTTCTGTTTCAGCACTGGAATATTCACATGCTAATAATAATTAAGACATTCAAGCACCTCTGGAAGACACAAGCTTGAGTGCCAAGCAATAAAATCTTACTTATGAGCTTACACGAAGCATTGAATAAGTTGAAACAAGTTGCCTGGAAACTTACCAGGTACATTTATTTAAAACAAATAAATTTAAAAATACATATATTCTATTAGTATTTTGAGTCTTCCATATAAAATAAAAAAAAAAAGAAAAAAAAGCTTTGATTTTGTCAGCATCGCTTTATCTGCAGATTACAAAACCTGGGGAAAGACCAGTAGAGATAATTTTGTTAGCATTTTCCAAACACAAAGCCATCACAAAATTCAATGCAAGCTTAACATGCAGTAGTCAGAGCTGCTTCCAGTCTAAACAAATTCAGCCTCCTCTCATTAACACAGTTTTTGTCAATCTTGTGTATTATTGTCAAGGCTACAAGTTTTCCCAGTTTCCCAAGAAGACATTAAAGTGCACAATAAAAATCATATTTGCACACAAACTATGCTTCAAACTTCAGTAATTCCTGTAACAGGAATTTGAAATTATGCAGACTTCTGTGGGCTCACAATGCTCCAGAACAGGATCAAGCCAAGTCCCTGCCAGCCTGCAGCTGTTTATCAAACATTGCTGAGTTTGATTTAAATATAATCAGCTCAGCCCAGCTGACAGCAGCTCTTAGTTGAACTATCAACTTGCTGCATTTTCAGAAAAGCTGAGAGTGACAAGGCCAGTCCTACTCCAGCCCAAGAGTGACTCAGGCAGAACAGATCACACAGGGCTAAGAAATTCTTCCTGCCATCTCTAAAGAAGTGGAGGCAGCAAAATGAAAATTTTGAGGCTCCTCAAGCCAATGTGAACAGTTCTAGTACTGTTTTCACCTCAGTTACTGGTTGATTTTCTCCTGTATCTTCTTTCAGAAGAATGAATAATGTTTCAGCCTAAATAAAAAAAAAAAAAATGCGAGATTTAAAACTTCTCAGTAATCTTTTGAGGGAACAACACAAAGAAACAATAGCTCTTCAGCAGTGTCATTGAGTATCCTCAGATAATTTGAAACATAGATGTCATAAAAGATAGCAAAGATCCACCTGTTAGAATAACTTAAGTGCCATTATAATATGCAGTTCAATTTCAAATAAAGGACAAATAACAAGATTTATACATATTTACGAGTATTTCTATAAAATTTCCCTGTCTTGGTAAATCATTAAAATCTCATCCTTAAGTTAAGCAGTTTTTCAAGCACCATGAAGTTGCGAGTGTGAACAAAAATATTCCTGCTTAAAGTTAGCCCTGCTCCTCACCCCTGAGCACACCAGCAGGAGAGGAAAACCAAAAGGTATGGAAACAGGGTGTATTGCATAATCAGACAAACAATAAGGGCTGCTCTCCAGCAGGGAAAGCCAGCTCCACACCCCAGTAATTAATCAGGTGTAATGCAGATCAGGAATCACTTTATCACTTACAGCCATCTGCTCCATCTTACAGAACATAAACATGTTATCTGGGATTAACTTAGTACCTACCTAAATAACAAAGCTTTGCCTTTGTTATTTGCTATAGAGAAATATCCACTTCTGGGAGAGAAGTCCATAGATTGAGTGAGATAAATCTGTTTTCTTCTGAACACTGGGAAGTTTGAGAATACAGTGTATGAAGGAAGGTGCACCTATTGAGAAATAGGTCAGAATTTAGGGTTCGTAAAAAAAAAACCTGAAAATAAAATTAAACTACAAATCCATAGCTGAAGCTCAATGTTAAGTCCAAATGTTCAGTTATGACTCTACATATAGAATTCTACTGGAGAAAAGGAGCAGGGAACACATCATGGAACCAATTATTGCAATTCTCAGACCTACAAATCCTCTGGTTAATTCAACAGTTCTACTGTTGGCCAGAATTCTGACAAGGCTGGCAAAAAAAAAAAAAAACCCATAATAAGATTGTTACAGTTACCAGCTGCTGAAAACTCACATTTGTTGCTGAGCTATGTTTACAGCTCTGAAATTGAATCACAGACTGGGAAGGGCTGGGACACCTTCCACTAGACCAGGTTGCTCCAAGCCCTGTCCTACCTGGCCTCAAACACTTCCAGACATTTTAGAGGGCATTTTAAGAAGGTAAAAAAGGTAAACTAAAAATCTTATTTTTCAGAGTAACTTTACTAAAGAAAATAAAATTATACTCTTGTAAATGCAGAGTGTCTTGGCCATGTCTGATCTGGTTGGTCTAACACTTTTTGCAGTATCTTATCTGCTTCATATCATTTTTTTTATGTCACTAGCAGTATTTCTAGCAAGATATGAAAGAAATATTGCAATAAAGCAGCTGAACATACCAGTTTGACAGCCTCATCAGTGTCACGGGAAGCCACTGCCAAAATCTCTGTGGTGGGATTAAAAGTCACACAGGTGGCAGAAGTAACAAGGTTCATTATGGCCTTAACTGGTTTAGGATGGCTTTCTTTGAGGCAGGCATCAGTGGTGTATAAATTTACAACTCCAGAAGATGAACTAAAGAACAAAATGAACACAGATTATACTGAAAAGTATTATTCCAGTATATACTGTCTTGTTATCTATAGCCACTACTCACCTGTAAACATAATTTCCAATTATTTACTGGAGCGTGCCATAATATTTTGTTTGGAGCTTGATTTGCCTTTGGAACTTACAACAGTATTTAGTGGAGGAGTTTAGGTTTTTGCTATTTTTTGGATTTTCTTTTTTCTTATATAATAAGAGACTCAACTGTGGGGAGCCTTGATGAGCCCATCTCTTACCAGGATGAATTGAAAGCAAGGAGAGCTTGGTATCAAAATATTCTGAAATAACTTCAAGGTGGGTTGTTTTTTTTTTGGTTTTTTTTAATAATTCAGCAAAGCTCACTTTAAAATCCTCTTCTACAGTGAGCTAGGAAAATATATATTGTATTCCTCTATTTATTTACTATTCTCATTTAAAGAATCCAGACCCTGGCTGAAACTGCATCTCAGTAAATTTGGAGAAACAGTTTCAGCTTGTGGCTTTGAGTTGAGGCCACTTTTGAAAGGCAAACATGGTGCCTTGCAGAAACCAAATTCAGAGTACAGGGAAAAGAACTAGAAAAGGGAGAAGGCCTTAAATCAACATTCCTGTTACAGAATTTGTGATTTTAGTCAGGGTTATTTCAAAATTAACTGCTGAACCCATACATGGCAATAGTAATACTAGTATCACTCCTATTGTTTTAGGTGTACTATGGTGTATTTATACAGAGAAAAGCAAATTATTACCATAAAATAGGGAATATTAATCTATTTATGTCTACTCTAAGCGTATTAGAGCCAAACCATGCTCCTACACTCGCACCAGCTACCCATAGGTTCACTGAAGAGCTTCAAAATGAGAGCAGAAGCAGCTGTCAAAGTTCAGTCACTTACCCACATGCCACATACTGGTTATTTTTTGAAACAGCAATGCACTTTCCTTCCAAACAACCTTCATCTTCAAATTTGTGTAGACACCTTCTGCTTCTCACATCCCAAATGAAAACTTCGCCTTCCTCTGGTTGCAGAATGAGAGATGTTAGAGAAAACACACATACACATCACTTTGTTAGTACATTTTGATAAAAAAAAATTAATTAGATGACAACTAGAAGTTAATTTACAGCTATCAAATATAAAGTATTTTAAAAAACCCCAGCGATTAAAGGCACACTAAAATAGTTAATTCCATTCTTTAATGACTGATCACTTGGTTGTATTTTTAGGAGAGATATTAGCATAAATTTTCGAAATTATTTCTCTAAAACTATAAGTGACTTCTAAGAATGGAATTATTACTAGAGCTGCTGCAATACTCACTTGAATAGCAGTATATTTTACTGCTGTCTGGGGTGAAAGCAGAGGCAGTGCACCTTCCATTCACCTTCATACTGCTGATCAGTTCTTTTGTCTGCAGGACAAAGAACAATGCTGGCAGAGATTCTACCAAAAATCTACAGAAGAGTTGTTTCCTGTCCCACAAAAACCTTAAGTTATCTACCCTGAGATTCAGAGAACAGCACCAACATTTTCAGTGCCTGCAGAGCACAAGCTCCTGAGTCTAACTGCAGCTGGATCAACAAACACTCACTTGCTCCCTCACTGAAGGGCCTGAGTTATATAAAACTGAACTTTCTCCTTTAAAAGTATTTTTCCCTGTGAAAGTTTAAAACAAATCCACCTGCCATCATAAGGCATTTTAAAATTCAGCTAAAAGATTGCTCTATGCATTATGAATCAGTGTTTGGCATGATTCATGAACACAGTACAGCAGCAGGCACTAGCATGACTCCCAAAAAAGCAGTCCTGTATTTCTTCCACCCCCAGGTGCCTGTTCCCATGCTGTTTCCATTCCTCTTGTCAGCACAGTGCTTGTGCAAGCAGCTGAAATACAGCACTGACACACAACTTCTTCAAGCTGAAAACCCCACAGAACTGCCCTGAGCTTCACCAGCCCCATGGAGCTGAGGAACAAAGTCTCAGAGAGTCCAAAATAATTCCCTAAAGCTGCAGTGGGTTGATTCCACAGCACATTTTTGAGGGCTGTCACAGTATGTGTCATACCTTGGCTTCAGCTGAAAGTTGGATTGCCTTGCAGATGAGATAAAAGCAGATTCAAAAGGGAAAAGGCACCAAGGAAGCAAAGCTACACAAACCATGCAGAGAAAGTACCTTCATGGACAGCAAGTGAAGGTAGCCTGAAGTTCCAATTAGCAGCATAAATGATCCATCTGGAGAGAGTTCGAAGTTTTTAAGGAATTTTTCCTCCACACCTTTAAAAAGAGATTTGAAACTTGAAATTGGTGTAATTTATTCTTTGGCCTCTATATTTAGAGGTAGGATGAATATGAATAGACCTGATTCCAGCTCTTCATTTCTGCAATATGCTGTCACAGAGAAGCTGAACTCAACCTTGCTCGTGTGTGATAATTAATATCCCAGACAAGTAACACTAAAGGTACTTTATTTTCTTGAAAATAAGTTAAAAATAAAACCTCCAACAAGCCACTGCACTTTGTTTCAAAGCAAATTCATGTGCCATCTCTATTTGGGACAGCTTCAACTGTGCCCAGAAACTCAGAGCTGCAAAACATACCTCGTACTTTTGGGACAGGGATGATACTCCCAGCCATCATGTCATACACAAAGAACATCCTGTGGTGAGTACCAGTAGCTATAACTTGTTCTCCATCCACACTGAAACGAGCCTTATAAATTGGAAAACTCTCTAAATAGATGCTCTGTATTTTTGGGTTCCTTATCCCGTCCACCTTCAAAAAAGAAAGTAACAAACCAGGCTGTCAGATGGAGGAATATATCAAATACTTTTACAGAGAAAAATCATTATCAACTTCTCAGCTGAGGCTTAAGTAATAAGAGGTACACCACTGTGAAGCCTTAAACTCTTCCTCTCTCCTACAAATAATCTGGTTCTTAGCTCCTTACCTGATGTAACTGTGCCTCTCTAATAGACCTCACACCTCTTGCTTTGTTCAAATAATCACTTCTACTGTGCTTTTTCTAAATGGAAACATCTGCTTTGATTTGGGTTTTCTTGCAGCTCTGTGAGACTATCACATTCCACTTGTCTGACCATTCCAGTGACCCTGGGCCATGCTAAGAATTCCTAAATAAAATTAGGATCTTTAGTTTTCAGAGGAGCCTGGCAGTGTCTCAGGATGAACATCATCTTCCTGCAGCACAGCCTCTCCATCCCCATCATGATTTCACAGCAATTTTACAGTCTCAAAGCAAAGTGGGCTGCTCCCCCCAATACAGGCTCTCCAAGCAACTTAGCAACAAAAAACCTCATTAGCACTTGTCACTTGCAAACCTTCAAACATTTTTACACACAAATCTTCGCCTAAAAACTCTGAGACAAAGAGTTTGCCAGTACTCTGCACGTGCTTGGTGTGAAGTCACTGGTGGAAATACCTTCCAAGATGCCTTTAACCAAGGAATTTCCATTGTAACCACAGACATTGTGTAACCCCTAATGGCGTGCAGAGGAAGAGAGAAAACAAAACCTATCATTCCAGGCTATTTCATGTACACTCAAAAAAAAAGGTTCTATGTTAGTGACCATCAGCAGGTACAAACTGAAGCTTTCACCTGGAAGAGGGACACAGAGCGATCATGCCCAGCTGTCATCACCACTTGAGCTGAAGGATGAAACTGCACTGTCACCAGTTTTCCATTGGCAAAACGTTCCTGGTTTGCAGGAGGGCAGGTGCTCATCTACAACACAGATCAGACAGTTAAAAAAACCACCAACAATCACTGATGCTGAATAAAAAGCCATTTGCTCTTTATGCTTACAAGACCTCTAGCCCTGTGATGAAGTTCTGGGCAGTGTGATGTGAGCAGAGCACACACAGCCCATTCAGGGAGCTGCTCCAATACAACACAGGCTGAATTCACCAACCTTTCTATCTGCATTAAAACTGAGTGTAAAACCAGCTGCATTCTGACTCATCTGAGACAGCTGCAGGAGACAGTGTGAGAAATACTCATTTAAGGCTGGCTTCTTAAAGATCCTATCAGTCACTTCAGTGCTGTGGGAGAATTCCATCCTCCTTCTGCAGAAATTAAAATCCCACTACAAGATGCTATTTAGAGTGCAGAAAACTCTTATGTCAAACAACACACCTCAGTTTATTGTTTCATGCTTTCATGTGAACTGTTCAATTTGCTTATCCTCTAAAGCTTCTAGTTGCAGAAACAAATTCAAAGAATCACTAATTTTATACACCACAAGAGTCAAAGTGTGCACTTAATCCAACTGAAGTGGAAGGATAAGGTTTGTCTTTACCTTCAAAATCCCTCTTGGCAGAGACTCTGAGCTGGTTATGAAGTTGCCAGTCCTGCGTAGCAGATCATCATCTTCATCAGTGTCACCTCATTAAACCAAAGCACGTGGAATCAGCTAATTGCACAGACACCCACAGCAAAATCAACACATTCCTCACTGAAATGAATTAAATTAAAGCACATTGAAGGAACAAAGCTGACATAGCCAGCATATTATCACACTACTGAAACTGAGAGGACATCAAAAGTAATTATCTTCTAGCAAGCTGAACAGGGAATCACAGAAACTCTTATCAGAATAGCATTGGGCATATTTACTATCACTCAAAGTCCTTTTGGATTTCTTCCTGTTTTCTAGGTCAGCCCAGGCAGGAACTCCTCCCATGGCACTCTGAAACCTTATGAGAAAAGGAGAAAGAGAAAAAAAACATAACTTTTGTGAGACAGTAATTTCCTTCTATGAGTTAAGTACTTAGAAGCACGGTCAGAATTCTGCAGGACTCCTTGTACTTAGAACACAATGCAAGTTTTTCAATTTCCTAAAAAAAATTTTAAGATTTCACTGTTTCTTGCATAATTCCCTAGAAAACAAATTAGTTTGGGCACTTTGATACAATTATTAAACAACTTAGTCCAGACAATGCTAATACACATTTTATTTACTATTTTTGGTATCATTTGTTATTTAGCAACACTGCAAATACTGCAGGAAGCCCTGACTTTAAAGAGACCACATAAGCACAGTGGATAAAGAGTAAAGTGACTTTGAATGTCACATAAATATATTTTAGCTTACAAAATTGTTGGCTTGGAAGGGAGACCATCCAGTCTAGCCCCTCACTCCAGCAGGGTCACCTGGAGCAGGTGGGAACATGTCCAGGTGTGTTTGGGATGTCTCCAAGGGAGACTCCACAGCCTCCCTGGGCAGCTGCTCCAGTGCTCCATCAACCTCCATGGAAAAAAATCCTTCTTCATGTTGTGATGTAACTTTTTGTGTTTTAGTTCATGGTCACTGCCCCTTGTCCTGCTCAAGGTGCCACTGAAGAATCTCCAACATCCTTCTGCCACCCACCTTGGAGAGCAATGATCATGAGACCAATCTAGTCAATACAGACAGCCACAAAAACATTAATGAAACTCACTGTTCCTCAAGTCTTTTCTTTAGTTTCTTCTTAGTAAGCGTTGTCTCAGCATCACTTTTCATTAAATCTCTCCTGTACTTATGGGTCATATCAACACTAGAGGAGAAAAGCAAACAGAACACAAACACCGTTCAAACCAAGGCTGCTTACAAGCACTCCCAAGTGTGATACACAACTCCCATCACCTAACCTGAACTTACATTTCCTCAGCTTCATCATCCTCATCCACCCAGGCAGGTTTTTTGAGCAGTAAACCGCGTTTCGCTTCATTCTCCACCCTCGAATCGCTGGAGTCATCCTGGCGGCCCTTCCCCTCTGCAGCAGCAACCTGAAACCAACCAAAGGGGCCGTGTGACAGCGGCACGGGCCGGAGCCCGGGCACTGAGCAGGCTCTCGGCTGTGCCGTACCCGCCGGGGCCCGGCCAGGCGCCGCAGCAGCTCGTCCTCCTCCTCCTGGAGGCTGCCGCCGAACACCAGCTCCTCCAGCTCCCGCTCGGCGCCCGACGCGCGGCTCAGCGCCTTCAGGTGCCGGGCGCGCCGCGCTGCCTCGGTGCCCGCGGCCCGATCCGCCGCGGCCAGGAGCTGCTTCGCCGCCCGCTTCGGTTTCGCGGTTCTAGCCGCTATAGTGGCTTTAAACGCTTTCTTGGCCGCCTTCATCCCTGCCGGTGCCGCCGCCCGCTTCGGTGTCGCGGTTTTAGCCGCTCTGGTGGCTTTAAACGCTTTCTTGGCCGCCGTCATCCCGCCCGGTGCCGCCGCCCGCCCGCGCATGGCGCGCCGCACCCGGAACCGGAACACGTGCGCCCGATCACGTGACCCCAGTCCCAGCCCGCGATTGGCTCATAACGCCAACACCCCCTCATGTGACCGAGCCCCGCCCCCAGCGGCGACCCAAGGTCACGTGACTCTTTCCGCCCCTCCCTTCGCCCTCAGCTCCCGCCCACCCTCGGCCGCACCACTGCGAACTCGCGGGGGGGAATCCCCCACTCGGGAGGCAACACGCGTCCCTCACCGGCTGCCCCTGGCCTCTCACCGGCACCTCCCGTGCGCACCGCCTCTCTCTGCCGGACACGGCTGCTCTTACACCCCGCAGCCCAGCCTTGGCGCGGAGCGCCCACCCCCGGTAAGGAATGGTCTCGCCTAGCGGGGGGGGGGGGATATGGCGGCGGGGCCGCTCCGCGCAGCCCCAGGGCGGCGGGGGCGTGTCCGCGCCTGCGCAGCCGCGCGCTCGTGTTGTTGATGTACCGGCGGCCGCCGCCGGTCCCGCTCGGCCCGCGGCGCTCGCAGCGGCCGAACCGCCCGGGCCGTCCCCGCCCCGCCGGGCCCGGCCCCCGCCGCGCCCCCGCGCCGCCCCGCCCCGCGCGCGGAGGCAGCAGGCGGCTCCGGCCCATGAGGGCCTGATGGAAAACACAAAGGAGCTGGTGAGTACCGGAGCCCGCGGGCCGCGCGGGGGGCGGGAGCGGAGCGATCTCGGTGCCCGTGCGGGAGGGAGGCGGGGCGGGCGTGGGGAGCGGTGAGGGGCCGTGCCCTGCCGGGTGCGGGGCTGTGCTGTGCCCCGCCGGGGCCGGGCCGGGCCGGGCCGGCGCCGCTCCGCCCGCGGGTCCCGTCCCGGGGAGCCGCGGCGGGCTCTGCCCGGCACGTGGCGCCGCCCCGGCCCTGCCCCTTTGTGCGGCTCCGGTTTTGTCCCTCGCCCCTCTCTCCTCCTCCCTCCGAGAAAAGTTTCAGCTCCATCTGCTTCTCCCCCTGCTCCGCTGTCGTGCCGCGTTTCAGTAACTTCCTCCTGTTGTTTCAGCCTTTTAAAGTTCAGTTTTTCAGGGTGGTCACGTTAAGTGCTTGAGAGTTTTCTTTTTTATCAGCACTTCAAAAGTTTTGGATTCTTTGCGGCCACTTCCTCCCCTCTCCGTGCAATTTTTGTGTCTTCTGATGTTGTGATTTTGTTCTTTTTGTGAGGAATAGGAAACTCGTGAAACCAGTTTCACTGTCAGGTTGTTGCTGGAAATGTTTGAAAGTGTAGCAATTTCTGCCCAGAGTGGCTTTGAAAATTAGAAGTCCTGCTACAAAGCATATGCTGATCATAGTGATAAATTCTGTGTGTGAAAAAGCAATTTATTTTAAAATGTGACTTGCAACTGTTGTGATTTTTCAAACCTAAACCTAGTCAAAACTGAAAGCTGCAGGGCAATCTCTTGTATTTAAAATTAAAATTATTTTGCAGGTTTGAGGACCTGCGTTTGCCTATTAATTGTATTCAACAGTTTGATTTTGACTGAAACGGAATGGATTAAGGCTATGAGAGTCTAATCTGGAGCCTTCAATGACAACTAAAATAATATATTCCATTAAGAAGGCAATAAAACTTGGCAGGTTAATTGTCTTTACTAAGTTCTTCAGCCTAGGCATTATTTTGAGGAAGTGAGTAATGTGGGCTGTAGGAAACCATGCAGAGGGATCTTGTCTCCCAAGAACAGTTTAAGTGTTGTTCTTGAGAATATTTGGGCTTGTGCACATGCAGAAAAATTGCAAACTGGAAGTAAGAATTCTCTTCGCTGTTCCCTAAAGAGCAAGGTGCCTCTGGCAGCAGTGGTAACATGCACAAAAGTTCCTTCTCTTTGACTTTCATTTCTCTTACCTTCTAAAATTTGATTTAATTTTGCAAGGCTTTTCATATCTCCTGCAAACCACTGCTGCATTCCTTCATTTCTCAGGTAAGTTGGTATACTCTGGGGATGTGGGATCCTTTGCTGAACCTGGCTCTGAGCACGTGGAATGAATTCAGGTGTTGAAGACTTTGGTTTTGGGTTGGTGGTGGTTTTGGGGTTCTTTATATTTAAATTTGTTTGTTTTATTTGGGGTTTTGTTTGTTTGTTTTAATGGTAACACAGTGTTTAAAGTGAAATATTTGCCTCTTCCTGATACTCCTGTAAGGGCTTTGTAGAAATATAATAGAGTTTGTAACAGATTTTTAGTTTTATCAAAACTCAGATATTTCACAGATTAATCATCACACCCCCCCTCCAAAATTTCCTGCTAATGTGATATATTTTTTTATGAAAGAGTCTCCCCTCTTGTGTGAAACCCCCTGGGGAAGAGGCTATGGACAAAACCATTGACAAACAGCAGAAACTGGCTTCAGACAAAATGCTGTCATACATAGCAAATGAAGAGACAGGAAAAAACATTTCTGTAATTTTCCAGCAGAGATTTTACTTATAATAAGAGTGGAAGGCACATTTCCAGATAGAGGTGAGTTGCTTATATAAAAAAAGTAAGTTTGGTTGGTTCTGATTTCCAAGAATCCCAAGATGTTTAGTTTTGGGGTCTTTGTTTGTTTTTAATGAAAGCTGAAAGTGTGTTTTCTTTAAATTGGTACCATGTTTGAATTTTCTTTTTTGGTCATTTTCTGAGGCACAATCAGGCCTCAGAACACAACTCAGTTCCACACGGACAAGCTACTATTCTACTGTAAATTGTTTTGGCCAACTTGCATTCAAAAGAGATAAATTCAAAATAAATTAATTCTGTTGTGGTGTTTCCTTAACATCCAGAGCTGAAACTAAGTTTGTAGCATAAAGCATCAATGAACTATTGGAAATAAAACCTGTGCATCAAATTTAACTTGGAAATACCCTTGGATCCATTAAGGATATGTGATTGAAGTAAATTTGTCTTATGACAGACCCTTGGCTTGAAGGTTGTGGTGCCCTCATTGTTGGCCTTGTTGACCCATCTGTCCTTAGTTCTGTCCCGTTTGGAGGGTTGGAGGTGAATATGGGAAGTGATGCCTCTGTTCAAGTGCTGGTGTACCTTTGCTGAGCTACAGCTCTTGTACTCCAAGCTCCAAATTGCTGCCATTCTGAGTTCAAGCCCCAGGTTGAATTAAAAAGTAGCAATAACCATTTGGAGTGGTTTGAAACCTTTCTGTGGCTGTTTTGGATCTTCCTCCTGTGGCCAGCTGCACTTACCCGGGGGCAGCAGGTTTGGTTACACAACAATGGGGTGTTGTTGGTGCAAGTTCTTACCTTCAAAACTCTTTTGCATAAATTTTGCCAATGCTTGAGTATAGTCTTCATCAAGACTCTAAAGCCATTTCCTAAGTAAGTGCTTGATGTCTAAATAAGATGAAATGGTTTCTGGTTTTGCCATGGATTGCTCACTCTTTGTGCCCATTTTTTGTGTTGTAAGAATAGTTACTAAACTCAAAGAATGTATGCTATAATGTGTTGATCAAATTCAGTGTGTGTGTATATATATGTGTATAAAAATGTATGTTTAGAGTGAGAAACTGGTTATTTTCTGATTTGTTTAGAGTTGCCTCCCTGCTCTCAGGAAAACCAGTTTCCTTAACTATGTTCTTTTTCATACCATTTGCCTTATGTAATGCTTAATTAAGAGTATTTCTTAAAAATATTCCTGTTGTCAAGTATTCACAGGGAGGAGGGGAAGAACAGGAAAATGGGAAGTTGGGCAGAATAAGAAAGCAGTTCTTAAGGGTTCCTTTCTCCACCCATCACTTCAATAAAGAAAAGTATGAAAAAAAAAAAAAAAGAAAATGAAGAAAAGTACCCCCGAGCAAACAGTCTGGGGTAATTTGCCAGTGCTGCTCATGATACATTTCACAGTGCTCTGACTGAAAACCTCTGTTGAGGAATGAGTAATCTTATTAGGAAAATAAATCTTAGCCAGAATGCCTGAAAGTTTGTCTTGTTCTTTTGTTTGTGCATTTCTTCCGCTTAATGTACAGATAAACTCTATTAGTGGCGTAGTTACTCAAGCTGCTGCTCTTTTGGCATTAACCAGCTGCAAGGTTCTGTTTTATAGCAAGCCAGGCTCCTGCTCCAAGCAGTTTCTGTGGATAGACAAGAGGCTGGTCCGTGTTTTGTTCGAAGTCGAATACTGTTTGGGTTGTGTTTTGAGGAAAAGACAATCTCCTCAGCATGATTTTTAGTGCTGAGTCCAGCTTTGAAGAGTAGGAAGCTGGCTTTATCTTGATTTAAGGATTGGAGGGGTTTTTTTGCACTCCTCTTTTTGACTCCAAGGACATGCAGCTGCTGTGGGGAGATGCTGCTTTGCACAGACAAGGTGTTGCTGTCATCTGTGAAGCCTAAAAGGACTTGTCAAGAATTGCATGTCCTTCACATGCCTAGAAATGACTTCCAACATTGCTTGTTCTGTTACCTCACCAGGGATGAGATGAGGCTCTTTGATCTGTCATTTCCTGGGTTCTCCTTTTGCCTTTTCCAAAGATAGGAGGGATAGCAACAAAGGGAGAGAGAATGTGTACATAGTAGATGGTTCCAGTTTCCTGGTATCTCTAATCAAGCTCACCATAGGGTATTAGAGGCCACCAGCACTTCAGGAACTGTTGATGACATGGTTGAGAGCTTCTAGAAGAAGATTGAGGTCCTAGAAAATCAGAAAGGGGGAATATTTGTACTTAATTTTCAAAAGAAAAAGGCGGAACCAATTAGCAAGAACTCAGCAGAAATTGCAGGCTGCTGCTGTACCCAAGCAGCTGCTTTATCTTGGTTGTAATTCTGTTTGAGGTATACATTGTCCTTTTTATAAGGATGTGTCTTTGACCTTTGAATTCAAGCAATGCTCCTACTTTTTTCACTTCCAGATGTTAGAGCTCCTTTTCTTTTGTTCATCTGAATTCTGCAGGAAGGGTTATCAAAGCTTCCTCTTGTTCACTTTTTTCCTTACAAATACTGTGTTTCAACATGGGTTAAAAAGAACCTCTGTGGTGTTTATTATCAAAATAGAAGTGTTTTGATGTGCTCTAACAAAATTCCAGCATAGGTATTTGTATATCATCTTCCCTAACTTTCACCTACTTATGTTGGTTTCTTTCCTGCAAACTCTGCCTTTTTGAAATCTCACAAAACATTTTGAGTAGTTTCCCCAATTGCAATCCAGGTAATAACTACAAATTCACATTAAGAATGTCCTGCATAAATTATCTGGCAAGAGCTGGGATACAAATTTTTTATAAAAACTACAGTATTATTTTAAAATGATAAGCAAAACTACTGATTTGAATTGTAGATTTGATATTCAATAATTTTGAATTGGAACAGTTTGGCTGAATATTAAGTAAATGGAAAGGTGATACATGAGGTTTGTTTTGACAGTGTAGTTAAACTCAAAAACTTGATGATTGCTACTTTTGAAGTTGTATAAAACTGAAGAATGATTTTTCCTAATTGAGCACCCAACTTTCCATTCACAGAGAGAAGCTGTTTTCCTTGCCATTTGTGGATATTTTGGCAAAGAGAGCTTAGCAGTAATATTGAGGTACTGAATGGAAGTGCTGCAAAAGAACAACAAAAAGAGCCAGGTGCACTGTTGTGGTTACCTTGCCCTGTGCTTCAGCTTCTGGTCCTTCACCTTGCCCCCAGCTTCCCAGTTCTTCCACCTTCCCTGGCAGTGGGAGCAGAGCTGCCATGGGCAGTTGGAAGAACTGGAAATGAGCTGCACTTTAATTCCTTCGGAGTGGCAACAGCATTTAAGACCTGAGCAAAGTTACCACCTTATAGGTCCAGAGTTCTCCACTCTGGAGTGGGAAGAGATATCCTGAGACAGGCTTGTACTGCAGCTCTGCGAGAGGGCTGAAGCCATAGGATCACACCTTGGTGTAGGATGAGGCCCTAATCCCCTAGTGAAACCAGACCAGCTGTCTTAGAGGATGAGGACATGAGCAGGGAGATCCTTCATTGGGCTTTGAAACACCTCAAGTATCTGTCCATAAAACCTCCTGTGCATCACAGTGCTTTGGTAGTACTGCTGGGAATGGTTCGTATGGAATCACAGTTTATATCTTAGCAGAGACTGTGGTGAAGAGAGCTTAATTACTGTGAGATATTAAGGAGTTCCTGAAATCTTGAGGAAGATGACTAGTTTTCATCTTCTGCTCGGAAAATTCCTGGCAATGTTGGCAGGACACTGTATCCATGGCAATGTTGTGCTCATCTTCTGCCTTAAGCTGCACACATGTGCACACACAAACAAGTCACTGGTCACGCATGTAGGTGGCAGATGGGACAGGTGACACTGCTGCCAGCACGGGTCAGGGCTGAGCTTTGCCTTGGCTCAGTGTTTCCTCTAACAATCCCATGGGCTTGTTTCAGGTTATGACCTATCCTAAACTTGATTTGATTTAATACAATTCTAATTTTTTTAATTTTTTTTTTGCCTGGAGAGTATAATCATAATTAACATTATACTGACTTGGTTGTTTTGTTTCAGAACTACTCTAAGTGTGTTTAAAGTGTTTGCCTTATTGCATAAGCTTTTGTGCTTACTGGGTTTCTGGAGAATTTTTTAATTTTTTTTAATAATTGCATTGGGTCAGTGTGGAAATTAGTTTTCCCTTGTACCTATTAGGAAATTCTTCCATAATAGGATTTATTTAGATTGCAAAGTGGAATATATTATAATAATAGCATAACATGGCAGAAAAAGGCTTGAACGAGATCTAACAATAAAGATGTTCAGGCATATGCTCTAGGAAGGGGATTTGGGGAATTGTGACGAAATCTTGAAGCTATGAATCCAAATGCAATTTAAGAAGGAAAAGCCCAATCACGTTACTTTTCTCTCTACACTGACTTTTAAATAAAATTAGCTCTTGGAAAGGGAAGTTGAGCCAAAGGCTTTCTTATTTTTTCTTATTTTCTTGTCTATCCTTCACTCCCCTAACTTGTGCTTTTATTGTAGACTTTCTTGGTTTTCTCTTTATTTCCTCCCAAACTTAGTAGATACAAAGATTATGGAAATAATATGAAATATAATTTTTTTTTTAGCTTAATGAGGGCAGTTCACATAGGAGTAGTCTTGTTTCAATAGAGCTGTGTAAGATATTAATAAGTGAAAGCTGTCACTTTATCAAAATTTATGTGATGGATGTGCCTCAGAAAAAGTGCATCAGTTCATCTCTTGCTTCTTTACTGTCTTTGCTGGAAATTGCTTAACTGTCGTGCCTTCTGCAAAATTGTGTGGTTTTATCCTAATTCAGATTTTTTTATTATAGAAAAACTATTATGTAACAAGTTTTTTGTATATGACAGTGGCAAATTAGTCACCTTTCTCTCTTTCAGCATTTGTACAGACCCTATTGCCATAGTAACTGAGCTCTTCATAATGGTTAATGTATTAATCCTCTGAACAGCCCTGTGAGCTGGAGAGGTGTTCCTGCTTCACACGGGACTCACGGAATCGTAGGGGAGCTGAGTGATTTATGGATAACCCACCAGCCAATAAGAGCAGAGAGCCTCTCATTCCTTTTGCTGTGCTATAAGTGCCCTCTTGATTGAACTGTCTTTTCTGTGCCCAGCTTTCTCAAATGAAGGAATTTTAGTGGAATTGGCTGCAGCCATCTGGAATGTGCTCATTTGCATATAAGATCGGTGTGGCTGTCAGTGCTCAGCTCATCAGACTTAATGAACTCTAAAGATACCAAGGAAATTAAATGTATGGATGGCTCCTGTGTATTCTCAGTGGATCATGAGATAGTTTTTTTTTTCTTTCTGTATATCACAACACCAAAAATTGGCCAGTTTTGATTATACCAATGCTCACATAATTGGCAATACATGGTTCATGTCTGTGCTGATACAGCAGTGCCTTAGAATATCTGCTTTTGAAGACTGACCTGTGAAACTTTTTAAGCTTGACTTAGAAATCTTTCCATTCAGAACATTCTGCTATTCTTTGGTTTTTTTGTTGTTTGGTTATTTTTAATTTTTAGACAGAACATAGTTCCCGAGTGGAAAGGAAACGCCAAGACTCGTTCGGGATGTTTGACGGTTATGATAGTTGTAGTGAGGACACCAGCAGCAGCTCCAGTTCAGATGAAAGTGAGGAGGAGGTTGCTCCTTTGCCATCCAGTCTCCCAATTATCAAGAACAATGGGCAAGTTTATACTTATCCAGATGGCAAATCTGGCATGGGTAAGTATATGTACTGTGTGGGTGCAAGGAGCTGGATATTGATGGATTTTAGCCTGTGCTGGGTTGTGAGGGTCCCATCCCAAATGTTGGTCCCACTGTAAAGGGACCAAAGCAGCTAAAGGGTTGGGGTTGGTTGGTTTTGGGAAGGGGAATTCTTTGGGTTCTGCTAAACTGAAATAAGAGAGGGTTTGAAACCTGCTGACAGGGAAGAAATAGTATGGGAACATCTGCCCTCCTGTTAAATGTGTTGTGTTTGCACATGCATGTGCGTATTCTCTTGTGCATCAGTTTTGTTCTTGGAGCTTTGAGGACAATGTCAGTGTGTTGTGTCTATGCCAGGGCATGCCTTCTCTCTGCCCTTTATGTTACACATACAATACATTTAAATATTTCTTCCTATACTAGGAAAACTTCATTACTGCTACTGTATAAAAACTGTTAGTGTTTACCTGTTCACTCCTCACTAGCTGTGAGCTGGAGAATACTAGAAAAATAAATTGAAAGGGAAGATTTCTTTTTTCAGGGAAGAATATTTTATGTGAAATCCTAGTGATTAGTGTAGAGCTCTCTCTGGGCAGATTTGGGGTGTTGTCTCACTGGCATTAGTTGGTCTCCAGGTCTTACCCACATACACTGTGGGTGATGCTGTCCATCTCTGAAACATTATTCTAGCCAGAAGAAAAACACTGGTGGGCTGGAGTACTTGGGATACACTAATTTATTAATCAAACAGTAGATCTGGTTTTATTTCAGGTTGGAAGTATTCAATATTTAGAGGAAACCAAGATTGGCAAGCCCAGATTCAAAGCAGATGCTTCCTTGAGAACAGTGAAAAACCAAAAATTGGCTTGAGCTGATTTAGCTGGGTCATTCATTTGCATGGGGGTGAAATTAATAGTGAGCAGAAAGAGGCACTGTTCCACCAGTGAACTTGAGGTTCTTGCTGTTTCACTGTTATTAGTGGTGGTGTTTTAAATTTTTTTTCCTGTGCAATTTTCTTTGGGGTCGAGCCCTCAGAAACTGTTTGACAGTACCACCTCCAAGACCTTCATTCTGTTCTCTGTGCTCTGAATTTTTACTGCGATTTTTAACTACACTCTTAATATTTTAAGGTTTTTTTTCTCTCCTCTGATTAGCTACGTGTGAGATGTGTGGGATGGTTGGTGTCCGGGATGCTTTTTACTCTAAAACCAAGCGCTTCTGCAGCGTGTCGTGCTCCAGAAGCTATTCCTCCAACTCCAAGAAGGCCAGCATTCTGGCCAGGCTTCAGGTAGCGGTACAGACACCGTTTTCTTTACATCCTTTCTGTCGTCTCTGGTGGTAAAATTGGGTATTTGTACAGATGGCTGCATGTTTTAAGATAAGTTTTCTTGGGTTTGAGGGTTTTCTTTATAGAGTTGCAAAATAGGTATATGTCCATTGACTTAAAATATTCATCAAGTAATCATCCAGGCATGTTTGAGTATTCGAGAAATGTCAAGAAATATCTTTATACCTTGTCTCAAATTCATTGCAATAAATGCCAAGAAATTTCATTTGCTATAAGTTAGATTAAAAGTTCTTCCTTTTGACCTGCTTTTAAGAGATATCTTTTTTTCAGGTAAACAACAGTGAATCTATAGTGCTGTTCAAGTTGGGATAGTAGTACAAAAGTCATCTTTTGGACACTCCTTACTACTGGTTTTTAAATTTATTTTATAATGCATGTGTGATACTTAGTCTCTGTGTACTTCTGATTTTGGTTTAAATCTGTCAAAGATAGCTGCAGACCTGTGGAAATTTCTTGTCAGGAGTTTAGAAAGGTGTTATTTACTTGGGTTGTTTTTTTTTTTTTTTTAGGGTAAACCTCCAACAAAGAAGGCTAAAGTCCTACAAAAACAGCCCTTAGTGGCTAAATTAGCAGCATATGCCCAATACCAAGCAACTCTACAAAACCAGGCAAAGACAAAAGCAGGTAACAGCATATAAATGGAGCTGAAACAAAAGCACTGAAAGATTTGTGCTTCATGAGCAGCTTCCTAACTGAAATAACTTTTCCCTTAGCAGCTGTCCCTGTGGAAGGTTTCAGCTGGGGTAACTACATCAATAGTAATAGCTTTACAGCAGCACCTGTTACCTGCTTTAAACACGTGAGTATTTCTCAGTTTGTGCTTTCCTTTTCTGTGTGTCTATAAGTGAGTTCGTGGAAGTTCTTGAATTAATTTTTTAAAAACATTCATGTCCAAATATTTTCATGATCTATGAAATATTAACTGTGAGTATGACTACTTTTTAGATAACTTATCTGTCCTTTAAAATCATTCTGAACACCATCAGTTATTTTCATTGTATGTACACGCTCATAAATAAAAAGGCTCTTACATACTTGAGAATTGTTTTTCTTATGTCCAAGTCACAAAATCATCATGTACTGCAGAGTAACAAACCAGCCAAGTCAAGCTGTACTGAAAACAGTTACAAAAGGCTTTTTAGATTAAGTCAGGCCTGTTACATTGTGTTAGACTGATCTTTTCATTACATACTTATATTTGTGGTTTTCTTTCTTAATTTTTAGTCAGATTCTCCCTGTCAGTCATGCTGCCAGGTAGTCTAGTATAGGGGAAAATTAAGGCTGTTGAGAAATATGAAATTTAAAAAGTTGGTTTTCTTTGTTTTAGAGTTTCAAAAGTTTCAGGCAAAAAGACATTCTTTAATGACTGAGGAAATTAGGAGTTGGGAAAATACTTAGCGTCGTCTGTCTTTAATGTGTTTATAAAATTCCAGTAATTAGACATTAGACTGACAATTAAAATATTGTCAGTACTTTCTGTCTCTTAAGTATAAGAGTTGACAGAAGGTGTTTTCTCAGCATATTTTTTAATTTGAGAAGTTAAAGTGTACTGTATTACAAAACTTTTATCTTGCTCTAAATTATGTGCTGAAAGTTGTAATCAAAACAAACATTTTGCTTCATGGAAGTTGTCCATGAGAGAGAAGAGAAATATTTTCTCTCCAGCTCAGGAATTCCTGCTGAGCCCTCTCAGATCATAAAGCAGTGGGAGCTGAGGGCTCCTGGCAGTTGGCACTCTGTGAATAGTGCCCTTTATGCTCAGAGGCCTCAGCTACTGCCCAGAGCAGAGCCTTGCGTTAGGGGAACTTGGGGAATTTGTATCAAATTCCACGTGCTTGAGTCAGCATGTTTGCACTGTGCTTTCACAGCTGTGTACATGTAATAAGTGAATTCATAGTCCATATCAAAAAGTATCATTTGATAACATGGGCTGTGCTATTCTATCTACAAACGTCTCAGTGTGGGTGACATCCTCTATTAGAGACAGCTGCAATTGTCAGATCACTTGTAGATTATGCTATGTCGTTACATTTAATTAAAATCAGTTGTATCTTTCTCACTGCTTCATCTGCACAGTGCCCCAGTAATGTGAACCAAGACCACAATCATGGTCACATTGTACCTCAGAAATTTTCACAAGATTATGGCAACAGTGCTACCAAGTAGCCTTTAAGTTGTTTCTTTTCTGTCCTCATTTTCCTTTTTCATACAAGTAAAATGCAAATCCTGCAGTTTTCTTTGGAGATTTCTACTTCTTTGATGGATATGAGTTAGTGTTATAAGGGTATGATTTGCATTTAACTTTGCTGTAATTATTTCCTTGAAAAATACATTATTTAGACCAGTCAGAATCTGAAAAACACGTCAGTGCTCTTTTGTTAGGTCCTTCGCTTTGTCCCACTCTCCACTGATAATTAAACAGTATTCTTTTTTACTTTCTGGAAAGATTATTGCTGTTTTCTGTATACTGTATTGCTTTGATTTGTAAAAGTTTGTATTAGTTGTTTCTTCACCATCCATATTACAGATTTGATGCACCTGTATGTGTGTGATTGAATATATAAAGCTTATTCTGTTCAAGATCAAAGTTTTGAGTCGACAGTAAAATCATGACATATCTACCCTTAAATTCATCATTCAATAAAATATATTGAATTTACTGGTTATGCTGGGTATATCTTTATGGATATTTGATAGGGAACATTAGGATCAATATTAAAGAAAATTTAAAGGAATTATGAGATGTGAGATTTTGCTTGTTTTTTTTTAATAACCTGGCATACTTCATTATCTCAGGTCTGATGTAGAATTCACACATCAGTTTCTCTAGTTTTGTTTCTTTTCTGGGAAGTTATTTCTTTCAATTGAAAACAGCTACATTTTAGAATTAAAGTATCTAAATCTTAGGAAGTTCTTTCTCTTTATGATAAGAATTAATTTCAAAGTATTTTGATGTGCTTTTTGTGCTTCCATGCTACATTTATTCCAGACTTGAGTGTTGAGCAACGCTAACGAAATTCAGTGGCAATAGAGTGGCCATGCCCATGACTTCAGCATTCAGTAAGCTGAAGTAGGGAACTGCTTTGGTTTATATCCTACAGGAAGCCCATGACAATGCCAGAATTCCTATTTGTGCACCTTGCAGCCTCTTTTTTTTATTTTGTCAAATTGCATTAATCAGGCACACAGCAGTAGCTGCTGTAAGGAGAAAAACTCAATGTTTTTAATATTGAGTTATAGCTTAGTCACATACAGTGAGCTCATTGCTGACCTGCATTCACTTTTTCTCCTCTAAACACATTTTAGTCTTTTCTATAGTTGCTTTTATTAGTTCAAACCATTCCTACAACTGAAAGCAAATTACAGTGGTTTGAGTTATTTCTCAGTACTACTTACTGGAAAATTTTATGCATAATTAAGAGCAATTATTTCTTTTCACTCCGTTTCTAATGAGAGGCACATTTCCTGAAGTTCTTTCTTCCACCTGAATTTTATTCTGAGCTGAAATATTTTCATTCTCTTGATTTCATCTGTTTTTAAACTATATCCAGTGATTTAAGGGAGGATTTCCAGGATGCTACACTGGGTGGCAGTGTTCTGCTTTGGAGGTGTTTGTTAAACCATTTTGCATGTTTTCTCCTCTGGCATTACCTGTTGGGGCACTGCTCACACACGAGGTTTCAGCATTCCATACAATTCAGGAATTGGTAGCATCACCATCAGGATTTGCAATTAAAATCCTGATTTAATTTAAAGTCTGGAATTAGGGCAGTGTTGATGCCATCCAAAACTTCTAGAAGCCACTTATTTAAGCCATGTGAGCTCTTTATTCAGGTGCATATGTGGAATACTTGGCCTTTAGATGCTCCTGTCAAACAGGCCCTTCCTGACTGCACCTTACCTTGCAGAGAAGGCCCTTGGTGCTCACAGATAGAGCCCTCCCAGGTCATGTCCCGGAGCAGGAAGCCAGGAACCAGCTCTTCCTTGTTTGGGAGTGATGTGAAGTGGATCTCTTCGTCATGAGTCTGAAAGGTAAATTTGTTCTTACCTGTAAATGATGGTTCTGCTAGTTCACACTATGCCAATCCAGACTGCAGTCACCTTCCAGCCAGAAGATAAGTAAGACTTAACACTTCTCTAGTGCATTTTGAGTTTTTAAAAGCACTCTTTGAACACTGATTGATTAATCAGATGAGACAGAGGAGAAATGAAGGAAGATGGCTGTCACAGCCCTGGGTTATCCAGGTCTTCCTGTTTCAAGAATGTCCCTAATGAGTGAAGGAGACTTAAGACAGTGCAGTGTAGCAGGTGTGCTGTAAACCATCCCTCAGGACAGTGTCATTGTCTGACATTTCAGCAGTGATGCTGCACAGGATGGCTTCCTTCTTGAAAGGGTGAGCCATATGGATTGGTGTAGGAGAACTAGCAGAACCAATGTTTTCACAGACAAGGACAAATTTAACTTTCTGCTATTTCCGTCTATACCAATCCACGCTCTGGAAATGAAATTTTCATTATAGGTTGATGTCAGGAGAAGTGTTTTGATGTACTGTTCTCTCTGAATCAACTGAATAGATGAGCAGGCAATAAAATGTACTTCACTTCAGTGCAGCTGGATTATGAAATTAGTCAGCACTGTTATTTTTGACTGTTTGGCTTCATCTTTCTTTACAGGCAACAAGATTTGATAAAATACATGGTTTGAAAAGTTTATTTCCTCAATTCAATTCAAAAACCTACACATGTCAATTTAGGGAGGGTAGTGATCACGGGATGGGACTTAAGTTGTAGCTGCCTATTTTGTTTGTGAAAATAAGCCATCATCTTTTCAGTTGGATTTTTCTCTGGCTGCAGTTGGCAGAAGAGAGCTCTGTGGTCTAGACTGGTGTAGATGGGACATAGCAGAACATGAAGAGACCAGGCTTCAAGAATAGAAACTGGCATACCTACATTTCCTTTAAGAGTTGAAATTAGTTTTAAGTTTTGTATAACCTCAAATGCTTCAACTAGTGAAGGGTTTCCTTTTTTTAAGATAAATTCAGCTTCTAGTGCTGCTAATGGCAATTGCTGATTGCCAGCAAAATTCCAGTGTTGTCATTTTCAGTCATTCAGGATTAATCCAGATTTCTTCACTTGTAGCTTCTATGCAGTTGGAGGCTATTCCCACTGGGTGATTCAGTTCTCTGGGTTCACAAAGAGTGAATGAGACAGTGCAGAGCCAGAGGATCCCTCCTATCAGTCCCAGTGATAGCTGGGTAATCTCTGAACTGATAAGAATTAATTTTTCTCAGAATTTTTGTGGCTGTTGTTATAGAACACCCAAAATATGAATCTCTCTCTCTCCTGCGTAGTCTCAAGTTTAATGCAGACTGAGACATTTTCTAGCTTATTACCAATATAACTTGGGTTGAGTTACTGTTAAGAATTTAGGTTCTTCAGCACTGTGCATTTCTCTTATCTACAGTACCATCTTTGATTGACATTTCATTATGCTCTGTTCAACAAAATGTTCTTCTGGAGATAGCAAACTAAATGTAATTTCTATCACCAGTTTCTGCAAACCATTACGAGTTCATCAGGTGGATATTCCTTCTTGTTCCTAACATATTCCTCACATGGGACAGTGTAAGGGATCTTGCTGTGCCTTTCCTTCTGGTGTTCATTAAAAAGGTGCCACTCGGAGCCTTATGTTCTTTTTGTCTGTTCCATGGAGTGATCACTTGCAGGTGATGTGAAAGCCTGTTCCTCTGAGAGGAGGTGAACCAGTGGGTGATAAACCCCACCATAATAAATCATCAGAATAGATTGAAGAAATAATTTTTGGTTATTCTTCCAGCAGCATGCATGACTTGCAGAATTTAATGGTTTTGATGTCTGTGCTTACAGGTACCATGATTTTCTTGCAAGTAGAATTGCATAGCAATTTCCACCATTCTTACTGACATCACTAGTTTCTTCCTAATTGAAACATCATAGAATAAAACTGACCTTTGAGAATGTACAATTTGTGCTTAACTGCTATTTAAACTTGGAATACTATGGGTTTTTTCAGTAAATACAGAGGAATAATTGGATACAGTTACAGAATTATGCATAGTTGTCAAATCAAAACAAAAGTAGGTTCTCATAGAAACAGTGGTTTCTAACCATATATTTTTTATATGTATATTGAATGTTTTGTCTTTTTAAGTTGCTTGTAGCACACTGAGATAACAGAAAATTAATATTTTCACATGGTGAGCTGATGACTTTTTAACCCCAAACCTTGACAGGCACCCATGGGGACTTGCTGGGGTGATATTGCAGAAGGAGTGCGAGTGGAGGTTCCAAACTCTGACTGCAGCCTACCTACCAAAGTCTTCTGGATAGCTGGAATTGTAAAATTAGCAGGTAAATGTGTTTTAGTTGCAATTAAAATAGTCAAAAGAGCTGTGTGAAGAGATCAAGTACTTTAGTCAGTGATCACCTGGTGAGAGTAATGCTGACACTGGTCAGGTTGGCAGAGCTGTGTCTGTGGGTTATACATTGTAGTGCTGTCACTGTTCTACTGTGATGCTTGAGAATGTCTCTCCTTGGTTTAGTTTTTTTAGTATTGCCTCAGAGTGCAGTAAGAGCAGTGCAGAGCAGAAAGGAGACATGGTATAAGAGCTGTCAGGAAGCCTCCTTATACAAATCACTTTTCTGGGTAAAAAGTTAGAAATTCAAGGTTACAGATCTAAGATATGAAAAAGCAGATACTGTGCGTAATTAATTTTGTCCTCTTTTGTGCAACTTCTAAAGGTTTATAGTTCATGAATTTTAATCTTATTTAAATTTACTTACATGATAAGACGTGTACATTTATCAAAGTAATCAATTCTGTGCATTAATAGCATCCAAAAAATAACCTTGCTATAAAAAAGCCATGCTATAAAAAAACCTTGCTATTAAAAATTACATTTAGAAAACCAATGTAATGTACATGATGATTAGTCAAGAAATATTCATACGTATTTTATAATCTTGTTTCATTATTGTATTTTTTTAAAATGCTTTCTTTCAGGCTACAATGCCCTGCTGAGATATGAAGGCTTTGAAAATGATTCAAGTCTTGACTTCTGGTGCAACGTTTGTGGGTCTGACATTCACCCAGTTGGTTGGTGTGCAACCAGTGGGAAGCCCTTAGTTCCTCCTCGAAGTATGTAAATAATAGTCTTACTGACTGATTTCAAAGTCTCTTTATTAAACTAAATTTGCTCATGGTCCAGATATCAAAATATTCTTTTATCATAACTTTTTCAACAGTTATGAATTAATAATTTTAACTTTTGACTGATGCTATATTTCTCATATCAGCCCATCTGATATGACTCAAAGCTTTTAAGATTGGGGTGGCAGCAGTTTGCTAATCAGTGATGAGAACGTGCACTGATTTTATTTATACTTTGTTATTAAGTTGTTTACCCTGGCCCATAAACTTAATCTTGGATAGCATTCATTCTCTTAAGAGCCTTTTTGTCATTATTGTCATCTAGGCCTTTTAATAGTCATCTGGGATTTCTTCATTACATATTCCAGACTCTAATATTGTCTCTACCAGGCGCAATTAAAAACCAGTGGCTTATTTTTTTTCCCCTTCATTTGTAACAGCCATCCAGCACAAATACACAAACTGGAAAGCTTTTCTAGTGAAACGACTTACTGGTGCCAAAACACTTCCTCCTGACTTTTCTCAGAAGGTAAGGCTGATCCAGTATCAATGATGTTCTGTAAGGAAAACTGCAGCACAGTGTGAAGAACTGAAATATTTTGCAGTGGCACATTAGCTCCTGTTGCAGTGAACGAGGTACAGTAGTTTCTTCCCTTAGGTACAGTTTTCTTTGGAATCCTTTCTCCAGTTATGTCCACACTTGTCAGTATGTATTTGATAAACTATTGGCTCTAGAAAGAATAGCTCTCTGTAAAAACTAGTTGGTCTATTTTGATTTTAAAATACCCCATTTAAAAAATCCACAGAAAACCCAGAAGTGCTCATAAGTTACCCTGTGATATTAAGAAAAAGGAAAACTGATTTTTCTAATTCAGGAATTTTTTTTTTCATGCACTATTTCAAGAAACTGAACAGAAAATGTTAATATAGCATGGATGTAGAAGGAATGAAGATCATATTTTTAAATCTTAGTATTTTTTTCCTGCTCTGGACTGGGTTTCTTTCTTTCTTAGTCATGTCTTCAGGTGTGGCAGCTGCTGTATAGTGTGCTGGAAATTTACTTGCCAATATTGTGAGATGATGGTGTATTTTACACTGCATGTAATGTTTTAAAACCAACCAAAATGCTTTTCTGCAGTTGATAATTTTTATTTTAAAATTGGCTCAGTTAGAAGCCAAATTAAATTGGCAAGATATCAGTCCTTTGGAGAGTTTGTCATGAAGATAGCAAGTGACAGATGCTGATTTTTAAATACAGTCTGTTTTCACAAAGCAGATTAACATCTGATTCCTTTCTTTTGTGTATTTTGAATAAATACTTTTGTAAATGGCCAGTTTTATATATATTGAAGGTTTATTTTCCATGTCTTAAAATGAAGCATTTAGTCCTGTTTTTAAAATGTTGTATTTTGAGTGGAATGACAAAGCAAGAACAAAAGATCTTGAGGTTTTTCTGGTTAAAGTTGTTTCTCAAGGTAACTTCACCCATTGTTAACAACTGAACAAACATTCATTATGTCAATGGAAAGTTCCTTGAATTTATGTGAGAATTGTATCTCATCTTAAGGGACAACCTTGAAACAATTAGAGCATTTTAGGTTCTGTTCTTAATTTTCTGAAGTATTTTGTTACAATGAAATCAAAGACAAATAATTTGTGTCATTTCTCCAGATTGGTTAACAAGTACTTCAGTTAACTGACAAGTGCTTCAATACTGTGCTTTAAAAGACAGGAAATGGAAAAGCAGAGGATATTATTCTTAGAGAATGTGTGTTTTGTGTTGTTTCAAGGTGTCTGAGAGTATGCAGTACCCATTCAAAACTTCCATGAGGGTGGAAGTAGTGGACAAGACGCATCTGTGCCGGACGAGGGTGGCCGTGGTGGACAGCGTCGTTGGGGGCCGCCTGAGGTTGGTGTATGAAGAGAGTGAGGACAAAACTGATGACTTCTGGTGCCATATGTACAGCCCACTCATTCATCATATTGGCTGGTCTCGGAGTATAGGACACAGGTTCAAAAGATCTGGTAAGTTTGGGTTGGGTTAGAGGTTTTGTAGCCAGTGTTGGCTGAGAGGAGTCTAGCTTAAGCAGTTCTGTTGCTCTATACAATTAATCAAACTACCTTGAGTAATGGTACTTGAAAATGTTATGTAATGTAGCCCAGGAGTTTTGCCAATTTTATGACACTCAGTTATCAGTTAAAATTATAAATAACATATTATACAGCAGTGGAAAAGCCACAATAACCTTTAAGTTGATTTCTAGTGTTTAGAAGATTCAATGATAAACAGAGGCCAGCAAACTGTAGGCAGAAAAACCTTTAACTGCACAATTCAAGCATGGTAAACTTCAGTAAACTTCACTTTTCATGCTGATACCTGGAATTACAGCCCAACTCCACAAACTCCTGGTTTCTTCACATCTATCTTCTTCATTGTACAATACAACATGGACAAGTATCCCAGTAGATACAGAATTTCTATTTACTGGCAATTTTAAAGACTGTCTAATACTTTATTTTGTAGTATTTACATGATTTAGACGGCATTAGGGAATGGACTGGGAAAGTGAAATGACAATGTGATAGAAGGGAAACAATTAAGACCTTTGTTACCTAAAATACAAAAGCAATTGTAATTTGAAATAGTTAAGGCTTCTAAACAAACAAACAAAAAAAAAAGTCTGGGTTTTTTATTATTTCTCTGTTCCTTTGAGTTGGTATCCCTTGTCAGAAACAGAATTTCTGTAAAGCACTCCACAAGGCTTCCCTTCAGGGAAATGCCTTCTGTTTTCCTAATGCTTCAACTTTCTCTGAAATAATTTATAAACAGATAGATATAGAGACACATATATATAAAGTGATTATATGTAATTATATAAAAACGTAATTTTCTGTCATAGCATAGTGCAAAGTAGTTTAACTGCCAGTTTTTTGCAAAAGCTTCAATGTAATACTTCCATCAATTTTGTGACATAATCAAATGGTCTTGTAAATACTGGATATTGATTTTTTTTCCATAAATTATGTTTGATTTATAGAGGCAGCTCAGGTTGAAGTCAGCAAGGAAAATGGATGGATTATGTCCTCCTGATTTTTGTGGTAGTGTTACTAATAAACTGTGGGCCTCCCACACCAGTGATTGTGTGCTGTTGGTTAAGATATTCAGAAAAACATAATGTGTGCTCTGTGAACAAAACTTCTGAACAATATTATAGTATTACTATTATTCTTTGTAGATATTACAAAGAAACAGGATGGACATTTTGATGCACCCCCACACTTATTTATGAAGGTGAGTTGAATAGCTAGAACACTCTTTGGAGAGTTGATTGAGGACCTTTAGTTCCTGTTGTATGTAAACCAGACCTGAAACTCTATTTACATCCTGGCCCAGCCCAAGTGGTTCTGCATGTGTTATCCAGTCTGACCTCTTTGATATCAGCAGAGGTGGTAGAACAGATATTTCAGTCTGTTGCTTTGGAAGTGTGGGGTTATGTTTTGTTCCAGGCTCATTAAATTCTTTGGTTTTGCTGCTGTTCTGTGATTCTTTAGGTAAAAGAGGTTGATGCAGCTGGAGAGTGGTTTAAAGAAGGAATGAAATTGGAAGCTATAGACCCCCTAAACCTTTCAGCAATATGTGTGGCAACTATCAGAAAGGTAAGAAAGTGAATGTGCATTTTGGGGAGGCAAAGAGGAATCCTTTTCCCCTAGCCTTTATTCAGGCATGAAACAAGAAGCTCAAAACCAAAATTAGGAGAGCTCATTCACACAGTGAATGGGGTATGTCTGTAAATTGTTTATATACAACTTCTATGAAAATGTGCTCATGTAAATTTGACTTTAATCTCTGGAAATTCAGCCTTACCTTTAATTAGAATGTATTTGTGAGAGGAATTGCAGGAAAACATTCTGTTAATTATACCAAGTGTTTTGCAACTGTTCAAAACTAGACATCATTTTGCTGACTTGCAGAAGTCTATGAAGATATTTTAAGGCTGTCCTTCTTTTTTAGTTTGATTGAAAGGGAGCCAATCCATGTGAAATCTGATTTAAAAGAGAAAATGTAAAAACCAGCTTAGCTGAATTGTTTAATCTTTCAAGTGAGGAGATTTGTTATGATTTTGAGTAATGGTATACTGAATATCCTTGCCAGCTGAAGAATAGACTGAGTTATAAAACTTTATGAGTATAGCTGATGTTCACAAGAAAAGTAAACTAGAGATCAGAAAAAGGAAATGTTGATCCCATCACTCTGCAGTTATCAAAGTTACATGTAACAGTTGCATTCAGTCTTAGAGATAGGTATGATTTGGAGGGTTTTTGTTATAATTGAATGTCCTTCTAAGTGTACTTCCTTTATTATTGAGTTGCTTTCACTCTTGAAACATGGCATGCTTTCTTTCTAGCTTTCTCACCCAGCTGAAGGTATTTAATGTGAAATTTTGTTTCTCTTTACCAAGGTGTTAGCAGATGGCTATCTTATGATTGGGATTGATGGCTCAGAAGCAGCAGATGGGTCTGATTGGTTTTGTTACCATGCCACTTCCCCTTCTATTTTCCCTGTTGGTTTCTGTGAAATTAACATGATTGAACTAACTCCACCCAGAGGTACAGGTAGCATTCTGACACCTTTTATTGTGAATACTACTCAGTGATACTGTATGTGCCATATGCTTTGTTTCTTAACTCAGCCTATAAAATTCAGGTCACTTCTTAGGACTTTCTCAAGTCTGAAACAAATACAACAGCTTTACTTTGAAGTAATCTAAACCAGAGGTCACCAACTCTTCATTTAGAAAAAGTTAGATTGTTTATTGGCTGAAATAATTTGCATTTGCTGTCAGAAATTGAGGATTCCACTAAGTCAATGGAAAATGTGGAAGTCACTAAAAGGGCTCTTCAGAAAGTGTCACTGGTTGGGAAGTCCTGGCCACAAAAACAATTAATGAACACTAAAGAATCTGAGGCTAATTTAACAACTATACCAGTCAATTTTTGGAAGGCTATACACAAACTTGAGCTTTAGGACTGTACATTAAATAAACCCCTCTGTGAGGAAAAGCTGTCTGTTCATAAGCACATGTGCCTACAGAAGACTTTGCCTTCCTTTTCCCATTTTTTGCCTTGGTCTGGCACATTTTAAGAGGATCATAGCTGTATAACAGCAGATGACAATGATTTCCTATGGCCTTTTCCCTCCATTCTCATGCTTACAGCCTTCTACTTGTATTTAATGAACTATTTTTCTAGGTAATAACTACAGTGTAATGCAGCATGAAGAAAATAATTTCATACCATTTTTGTAGTGGTACAGTGACAACTCTGTCACCCTAGAGAGTGTGGAAAGTGCAGTCATACAGATTTAGTTTTACTTTTCAGTCAACTCATTTAGTGAATTTATTGTCTAGAAATTCATGGGCACCAGCATCCCTCAAAAATCTGAGGTGACGAGACTCTTGCTATGAAAGTTTTTATGGGAGAAAATGCTTGTATATCAATACATATCAATCAGTTTAGAAATACATATATGGAACTGATGAGACAGAATAGGAGAAAAACTTGCCTTTTGGTTTCACTCCTGAAACACTACTTTCAGAATGTGGATTTTGTTGTTAGCACATTTGTGATACTTATAGTGTTTCTTGTATCATGGCAACCTAATTCTTTACCTCCATGTACATTTTCCCTTTTATTGCAGTTTTTCCTAAGTCCTGTGTTATCAGCGAGAGGTGATTATACATCATACGTGCAATAATCTAAAAGTTACTTGGAAGATAAATTACTAGCAGTAAAATACAGAGCATAATGCACATTAGCAATTTTGATAGGACCAAAGTGATCGAAGCTCCTTAGCCCTAACAAGGAGGGCACTTTGCTTTCCAAATTATGGGCTGGAAAATGGAAAGCCTCTTAATTCTACCTGGTCTGACAAGGCCCACATGCACATTTCCTGTGTGTGATGAACTTGAGTACAAATATATTGTGTAGCAGAGGAATGTTACATTGAGAAGAAAATCATTAATATGCAGTATTGCCATTATTAATTAACTGCAGCTGCATCTGTTCATGGAGACATTCCATAGCCAGTGTGAGCACTCTTATTCAAGTTGCATTTAGTATTGTGAATAACTTCAGTTTCTATGAAATCATTGGACTTTGCAAAGCTTTTTCCTCCCAGACTTCTTCATCCCATGCTGTAATCAGTAGAAGATGAAGATGCTTAGGCATTTTGAGGGATGGGATTGAATTTTTGGGCTGTGGGTACTGAGAGTGGCAGCCTCTGCCCCCACAGAGACGGGATCCAGACCTCTCCTGTAATTCCCACACTATGCCCACTGCACTGCAGATTTTCAGGATGTCCATCACTGCACACTGCTGCACAGAAATCCTCCAGGCTATTGTTGCTCCAGCTAGAATTAGAGAATTATTAGTTTAATTATTATTTAAGTTGTTATAGTTGCTCAAAGGAAAAGATATTCCTGTGTTTTATGCATATTCAGTAGCAGCTACATATCTTTTTGAGAGATTATTTTCTTCCCTTTATAATAGCTTTTAAAAAATCCTCTAATTTTCCATAGTACGTATTACTGCTATTTTTACCCTTATTAAACTTTTAAAATATCCATGTTTATTCTTTCCATTCTGTTCCTGACAATTTAAGTGTTTCAATAGTGGAGCTATTTCCCCACAGGGAAGAAACTGGATGTTCTCAATTCTGTGATCTGCTCTGGGTCATTTGTGTAGGGCATTTGTAGAGATAAGAATCTGCGTGGACAAAAAACTTCCAGTTTAAGTGATTAATCTTAACTTAAATGATATCTGTTATGTTACCCAGTGCTTCATTCTTCTTGTTAGTTGCAAATGGGCTATGTCTAGGTGGCTTTTTGTCCCTTAGATCAAAGCTCAGAGAGTGGAAGTTTCTGCTACTGATGGTTGACTTTTGTTGGTTTTTTAGCTCTAACACACTCCCAGTGTGCTATTTTTGCTGTTGTTCATACACATGAAGTTTGCAGTTGATGAATGAAAATGTTGTTTAAAATCCACAGGTTATGCAAAACTCCCTTTTAAATGGTTTGACTACCTCAGGGAAACTGACTCAATAGCAGCACCAGTAAAGCTCTTCAATAAGGTAATGAAATTATGCATGTTTGTGTGGAATTAGTATTTTCTTTACATTTTTGCATAGTGCATGGGATGGACCCATTTATTAAATACAGTTTTGAAAAGCAAAAACTTTCAGAGATAACAACCATTTGAGTAAACAAAGTTGGTTGTTGGAATCTGTGGTATTGATGATTCTGAGATTGTAAAAAGTCTGTCTGTCAGCCCTGCTGCCAAAGCAGAAGCCATAATTCGTCTGTGCTGTTTCAAGGTTGTTTATTCTGTTTATCTCTAACATGTTCTGCTGCCCTGCCGCAGCTCTGTCCTGCAGGGCAGCGTGTGGGGCTCTGCCCTCAGTGGGATGGTACAAACATTAAATACCACAAACTACCTGTGCTGGATTTACAATAACGTGCCAATATCTGTCACCTACGTTGGACAGTGTGTCCCCAGCCCGAACCAACAGAAAAATGCCAACACCACAGTGAAACATGGAGGGCATGAAGAAGGAGAAAAAGGACAAGGCACACCCAATTTCCTCCATCTTGTCCCCTTTGAACCCCTAATCTAGAATCCTAAAATTTTACTTTTGCACCCGTGCCACACTTAATTATTACTCATATCAAACACTCAGAGCTTGTAATTCATCCTGTAAGATTGAAAACTCTTTTCCATGGCCAGAGATCACAGCCAGTGTCTCTGGGGGCTCTGTCCAGGGGGGTTCCTGACCCCTGCCAGGGTCCCAGACCTGCCAGGGCAGCCAGAGGGATGCCCTGGATTCCCACAGTTGGTATCTCTGAAATGTTGAGCAGATGCAGAGGTGCAGGAAACTTCATCAGTGATACATTTTTTTCTATATTAAGTGGAATGAAATCCCTGTTTCACCACTGTGCTTGAACTATCTTGATGAACACATCTTGTTTACTGATGTTTGCCACCTTTGCTTCCCCAGGAAGTTCCAAACCATGGGTTTCACGTTGGCATGAAGCTGGAGGCCGTGGATCTGATGGAGCCTCGGCTGGTGTGCGTGGCCACGGTGACGCGCATCATTCACCGGCTGCTGCGGATCCACTTCGACGGCTGGGAGGATGAGTATGACCAGTGGGTGGACTGTGAGTCTCCAGATCTGTATCCTGTGGGATGGTGTCAGCTCACTGGGTACCAGCTCCAGCCTCCAGCGCCGCAGTGTGAGTCCTGCTTTGACAATAGTGAGAATGAATTTAATGGGGGCTCATTTTCCTAGTTTTTTCCACTTAGGTCCCCAGGCATAACAAAAATAGAAAAAACTCTTGCTAATGCCTGGAAGTTCTAATTCACAGTTCTAATCTTTCCCACTTTGACTTCTGAAGTATTTCTGAGTCTTTACTAGTCTGAGTTTTTTACTATTTTTCAATGCCAGAAGATGCCAATTTGATGCCTGGAAAAAAACTCTTGTCAGTTCTGGAGGAGCTCACTGAGAATTTATATTTCTTTAAGACTGCCAATACATGTTTCACCTCCTGAATTTGGTGGAACTCAGCCTCTGCAGAAGCTGTATCTAATTTATTACATCACAACTTGTCCTGTCAGATCAAGTGAAAATAACTGATGAAATGCATTTCAAGAACTGTTTTTTAATAAGAGGGTAATGAGCAAGTTCTTGTTAAGTAGTTTAATGCAAATTGGTTTCCCACAGTAAATTTCTGTCTTTGTTCAATCACTAAGGAAAAATTCTGTAACTGTGTAGCAGCTTTGACACATTTTAAAGTGGTTTTTTTTTTTTTTAAATAAGCATAAATTTTGAATTCTTCATTTTTGCAGCATCAAGAGATAGCCAGTCAAGTTCATCCAAACAGAAGAAAAAAGCTAAATCGCAACAGTACAAAGGACATAAGAAAAGTGGGTGACAAAACAGTGTTTGCACTTTACCTGATGTTTTAAAGTTTGTGGTCTCTACCTAAGTCCCTGTTCTATTTGGAAATGTTTGTTATGCTTAAAGGTGCAGTATACCACAAAAGGAACTTCTTCATTGAGAATAACTATTTTTTTATAACTCTTGATAGGGTAGTTGTTGCTAATTATAATAATCTATGAATTGTAGATGGATAGTGGTTAAAATATTTTGAGCCCTTCCAGCACAGACAGCCCCCGAGGCCCTGCAGCCTCCCAGGAACAGCCAGGAGCTCAGTCCTAGCCTCCAGACAGGTAACTGGTCACAGCAGTGTGTCAGTGCACAGTGGGAAGCTGTGCTCCAGGGTGTCATGTGCTGACTCATCCAATCTTTCTTTTTTCCCTTTTTTTTTTTCCTATGAATTTTAGTTGGTTTAATTTTTTTTTTCTGCTAGAGAGCTTTTCATTCTCACTGATTCACCATGTCATTGAATTACTCATAGCAGAGGGTTGCAGGTGGTTTAGAATTTCAGAGGAAGAAGGATGTGGGTTACTCAGAGTCCCAGAGGGGCTCTGCAGATTGTTAAAATATAAAAAATGCTCCCTGTAAAACAGAATGGTAATGCAGATCTGGGAATATTGGATGTAAGTAGGTCATTATTGTGTATTATCCTTTGCAGAGAAAATAACTATATGCTGTAAATAAACATTTTTGTCTTTGTATCAGAAAAACGCAGTTATCTGGGAAAATATCTTTGGAATGTGTTATTTGAAATTCTGTGGATTACTAAGAAAATATATTTGAAGCAGTGTAATTGTGCATGTGTATAAGTGAGCAGAGAAAAACTCTTAAAAATTAATTGGTAATATTGAAGTAGATTAAAATTTTGCACTTCTTTAAATATAGTTTACATAATGCAATCAATCTTGAATTATACAAGTTCACTTCAAGGATCTGGTAGTTTTTTCTCTTCCCTTTTCCTGATATCTCTGGCAACATAATGAAGCAAATTATTGCTAACAAACATATTGTGGCAATAGGAGCTGTCAGACAGGCTGGATGATGCTCTCCCTGCAGGACAGTTGCCAGGTTGACAGATTTAGCTTCAGATTTGCTTGATTACTCCCTTAAGCTTGCCTTAGTCTGCACAGGCTGCCCTGTCAGCACTCTCTACTGGCTCTGGAATACATCCAGAACAGTTTCTCTTGGCCATGTGTTATCCATTAACAGACTGGGGGAAAAGGAGCCCACGTGCCACCTTTAGGCCCTGAGGAAAACTTTTACTCTTATTTTGTGCACCTCTCAACACTTCTCAAGGACCTCTTTAGTTTCCCTTCATGTTCCTGCTGGTACATGCCATGTTTAACAGAGCCTTTGATGCCAAAGAGAAGTCTTGCTTACAGGAGAGTGTTCTGGACATCTATTTGTGCACAATTGTTCTTTTGTGCCAAACCTACACCTGCATTGCATTTCTATAATGCAAAGACATACACAGTCTGACTGTCTGTCTCATTAGATCTCACAGTTCCTATGAAACATCTGTGTTCCTTGGTTTCTGCTACTCAGTCATCAGTTGAGGGGATGATTATGATTAATTGAAGGCAATTTTTCAACACTGAGTTTTGGTAAGGCTGGACAACATTAATTTTGTTTGTGGTGTGGTTAGCCTTGTCATTGCCCAAATATGTTTGTGTTTATATTGAAACCAGCAAGACCATACCTTTTCAGTCCCTTGAAAGGGGGCATCACCTTGAGACCATCTAATCAGTTTAGAACATGTTTGACATTGGCCAGAACTCAATTATTAATTATGTGCATGTTCCTCAGCATCATTCATTGCCTGATATTGGAGTAACTGTAGTACACGTGCAGACACAGTGCAGGGGATGTTTGCATGGCTTTGAATGGAGTCAGTGGAAGATTAGTAGAAAAACAGTGTCTGTTCTGAAACTTCTTGTCTAGGGGAGATCTCAGTTCAGGTTCAAACCCAATTCCTTCCCCTTTTGTATTGTCATGAGCACAGGAGAAAGGTTCAGCTCTTCACCTGGGTTTGTATGAAGTGGTTTTGCTCTCTAGCAAATTCCTGGTGCTGCTTTAGGGTGCATAAGTACTTTGCATCTTTCAGTCATCTGAAATGATCTCTTGAGCACTGAAATTCACCTGTTGGACTGCTTCATTTTTAAAAAGAACCTACAGCCAGCCTTGCAGAGGAGGAGGAGACTGTTCCCAGAGATTCACCCAACTGAAAAAAATGGGGCATATTGCTCTATTTGTATTGGTTTTGGGAGGTTTGAAAGTCATGGCATCAGACACAATCTGTCTCTGGCAAAATCGCTGAGATGATGCAAAAAGGAAATACCTGGCCCAATCTACATTCCTTTTCCTTCAGTTGGATGACTTCCATTAGTTTTCCTTTTTCTTCTTTCAAGCAATTTGGTGTGTAGCTGTAACTAAGCATTTCTAATGGAGGACTGTAGTTAAAAACTGGTAATAGGAACAAAGTAAGATATCATTAAATATCTAAATGCTAGGACTTTGGTTCAAGTGAGCCAGAGACAAGCCAAGTAATGCCAACTGCTGTTACTTCTCTGCTTGCAGGAGTTTCCTGCTCGGGAGAGAAGGGAAACAACGTGCATGGTGGGTTGGTTTATATCCCTGAGCTCTGTGTAGCCTTTGCTTAAGGTATTGCAGCCACTCTGACCAAGGAGTCAGTTGTGTCTCTTATCATTTAAGCAGCACTTTGTTGCCCCCCAGGGATCAGGAATCTTGGTCAAAGTTGGGTGTGATGCAGGGAAAAGTATTTGGGAGAAAGAATAAGGAAGGGACTGAGGGCTCTGTAGGTGGGAGGAGGAGTCTATTGAAGAAAGATGGCGAGAGCTTGCATTGTGCTGCAGCAACTTTTGACATCTTCTACTATCTTAATTTTCAAATTTTATTTTTATTTAGCTCAAGTGCTCGTTTCAACGTAGAAAATTTTAAAAAGAGTAATCAAATAGCTTGAAAGTTACTGCAGGGTATCAGTAAGCTTATAGCTTTTAAATTACTGCAGGGTTGTCAGTAGCAGCAGGTTCTGGATTGGGCTGTTTTCCTTTCACTGCATATTTCTGCATTTCAAGACAAATTGACAAGGTATATAAACTTTATATTGCATAATTATAAACTTTGATAATTTTCTCATTCATTTGGCCATAGAGAATCATTTATTTTTGTATAATCAACCCTTTAATGTGGGTACTGCACCTTTAATGAACGTTTACATGTTTTGTTTTCCGTGTTCTTTTCATTGTGCTCATATTTTGAGAATCATCTCTACTTGTTAGTGAAACTGGAAAAGTAATTGTGACATTGCTATTCATATCTTTCTCTTAATCTCATTTCTATTTAATTTTGACAAAAGAAGAGAAGATTTAAACTAAAAAAAAATGTTTTGCTTTTATGAAACTTCTGGGATCTTAAAATTTTATTAATAGATTGAGAAATCTTTGGTGATATGTTTTGTTGTCTCACATAGAGTGTTTGTGGTAACTGGACTAAGTAATTTGAATTGTAGGTTAACTACAATTAAAATTTAAATGTTGGCCATTTAAAATTTCATTTTCATTTGTGTAAAGACTAAATAGGAAGCAAAGTGGTTTAAAAATTAAAGTGGTTTAGAATACTCAGTTCTTGAGAAAATCTGGTAGAGATTCTTGTAAGTAATTTGAAATCTGTTAATATTAGAGCATAAGTTAGGATTCCACCTGCACTCACAAAGTGCCTGTTCTCTGTGGCATCCTGAGCGTTAAAGCATCACTAAAATGCAGCATATAAGAAAATGGGGAATCTGGGATGCTCCCAATAAATGATATAGATGTTTAATGTGAATTTTTGATTTGTAGTGACTTCGTTACAGCTGAAGGAGGAGCTGCTGGATGGGGAGGAGTACAGCTTCCTGCAGGGAACCTCTGACCAGGAGAGCAACGGCTCTGCCAGCTACTACATCAAACAGGAGCCCTGAGGCAGCTCCAGGAGCAAGGGGCACAGCAGTGCTGATAGGAAAAGAACCTTTCTCCAACACTGACTGATTCTATTCCCACTTGCATGGTGCAGTTCAGGTGACTGTGCCTGGGGTGCTTTGCTAAATGTAGATGAATTAGACTCAGTCCAGAATTTTTTGGAAGGGCGGGGAAACTATTTTAGTGAAAAAGATTTTTCAATTTATTAAAAACAAAAAACAAAGGACACTTTTGTGTTGTATTTGAAGCTTTTGAAAGAATTTTGTAATATTTTCAAGTTCAGATTTATTGTGCATTGTTAACAAGAACTGAAATTCTAATTTTTTTGTAAGATTAAAGTTTATTCAGCATGATTGTGGGAAGCAGTTGGAGGAAGATATAGTTGCAAATACAAACGAACTGTCATAACAAATGAACCTTTTTGGTACAAGTTGGGAGACTGTTAGACTCTTGTGAACTGCACTGGTCATGCCTCTGGTTTTTTAATTGTGAAAATAAGGCTTTAAAGTCCTGATTTAAAGGCATAAATTATAAATGGAAGACAGTCCTGTAAAGCTCTACTCAGTGAGTAGCCCCAAGTGCAACGGAGCCATCGCCTGAGGAAGATTTTAACTTTTCAAAGTGTTTTTATTTAGTTTCAAAGACCCTTTTTTTGTATAAGGTTTTTGTTTTTTTAACATTCTTTAGGGTCTGATTCAGTGCCCATGAATATCAGCAGCCTTGTCTGTGCCGACTGCAGTGGGCATTGGATGGGCTCTATAAAGCTCTTGTCTCTATGTGAATGTCTGTAGTCTTGGAATGCTTCAGCAAATGTTTACAGAGCCCTATGCCAAACTGGAACTTCAGAAAATTCTCTCATTGGAAGATTAGTGGTAGCTCTGAATTTTGACTGAAGAAGCAGCTTAGATGGACAGTCACTAAGGATTCCCTTGGTAGTGGGAAGGAACTTGTGAGTATTCTTGTGATTTTTTTTTTTCCATTCAGAAAGCCTTTAATGTTTCTTTACCATCTTAAATATTTATCTCTGGTCGTTCAGAACTGATGTGCCACATGGTTTCAGGAGATCTGAAAGGAGCCCTACAATGTGGATTAAAAATTAGTTCAGTCCTGCATAGCCTAGTGTAACACAGGACTTGAGAAAGTATCAAAATCACATGGTTTTAGTCTATAATTCATAACACGACCATTTAAACACAAAGTATTTTTGCAGGAGCTCTTCATAATTTGGATTTTATCTTTCCATATTTTTAACTTTTGTACATTTTTTAAATGGAGTTGGTGAGTGAGGTAGTTGATCAGCCCTGCAGAGCTGTGACTGGAAGAATGTGCATCAAGAGCTTTAGCTTTTACCAGTAAGGTTCATTAACTAAACTCTCAGGAATTATAAGTTCTATAAGTGCTTCTGGGTCTTCACAGGTCCCCTTCAGAGCAGTACAATGATCATCTGACTCTTGACCATAAATTAGGGCTTAAAAAAAATTGATCAAAAATTACTAAGATTTGTATCCTACAGCCTAAGGAATGCTTTAAGGACATCAACCCACAGAGCCCCGGGAGACCATTTTTTGTATATTGTTGTTTGATCTTAAAAAAAAAAGTGCATAGAAAGTTGAAAACCAGCAATTTGATTATTTTCTAAAATATTGCTCCAACTTTAGGTACATAGTATTGGTAATATACACAGGTTTACCTCATTCTATGCAAGAGGGATTAATTATGTAAAGTTTTGTATTTACTACTGGAAGTAAAACGTGCTGTATAGTGTAGGAATGTCTGGAATTCTTTTCTCCCTTACTGGTAAAATTTCTTAAATAACGGCCTGGTTTTAACAACAGCTTCTTCTATTGACAGAATCTGTTAATCTGATTGCAAGAATCTATAACTTCAGATGGTAAAGACATTTTAGCTCCCTAAAATAGCCATAAAAAGGACTTTGTTGGACCTGGTAGTCTTCAATAGCTTATCTCAGATTCTGACCCACCCATGATGTTTATTTTGAACAGCCTATATTGGAGAACTAGGATTAGAGACCATTGTAGTGACACTTTGAGCCTTGATTGTTTTCCTGTGTTCTCAATTTAATCTGCTGTAAAATCCAGCTCTGCAAGCATTGATTTCATTTGGTAAGTATAGCACTATTGATTTTTTTTTTTTTTAATGCAACAACTTGCAGGTTGTCCTATCAGCTGGAACAAGGTTCTCACAGTCTTGCTTTCTTCTCTCATCAACAGCTTCTGACTTCAGTAGAAAAACTGTTGCATTAATTTGTGTGCCATAACGTAGACGGTCGGGCTAGTTAATGAGTGAGGTGCATTGCCCAGAGACTAAACTGAATATTGCCCAGGCTCATCCCTGATTTCAGAGTTGGTCTTTAAATGTCAAGAGGGAAAATTAGTCTTAATATACTTCCTGTGCTGGGAGAAATGTAAGAATCTGTTCTGAAGTCTGTCAGTCTTTAAAATACTCTGTTCTTCATCAAACACTAAAGTCTGTGAGGTGATGTATGTTCTCGGGTGTGACTTGAGCAGTTGGTGAAATGCCTTTTGTGTCTCTGAGTTCATAACACCCTCAGTTGTGTTACTGTCAGGGGCAGTGCCCCCTGTGCTGAGCGAAGCGTGGGCAGAGCTGCTGAAGTCCCTGCCTGAGGAGCAGCTCAGGGGGCAGCTGTGACCCCCAGAGCCCCGGGGGCTGTTCTGGGGCAGCTCCCTGGCCCTGCAAAGCTTCCCGTGCCTCTGGGATGTTCTCTTGGCTTTCCAGCTGTGGTACTGCCTGAGAGAGCAGCAAATGTTGGACACCCAAAACCTTCCATGGGGTTGGACTGATTCTGGCATTTGGTACAGCAGCTTTTCCTGAGCGTGAGGCAGCCTGACTTGGCTGCTGCCACTCTTTTCTTGTTCCAGATCTCTCTGCTGATCTTTGATTATTACATTATTTTCAGTAGAACTCTCTAACCTGTTCCTTGCTGCATCTGAGGAAAGCTACAGCAGTTATTGATTCCTTGTTCTACAGATACTAACACGGGTTTCAGTGTTTGTTTTGGGTTTTTTATTGTTGTTTTCTGTGATGTGAATACCCTCCCTTGATCTTTGTACGATGGTGCTAATACATTTGGTAACAATCCTTTATTGGGAAGGGATTTTTTAAAACTGTGATTTCAGATGAATTTTTCTTCCTTTTGGTTTTTTTTTTTCATATTTAAAATGAAAAGCCACAACCATTTATATAAAAAAGGCATCAGCTTTGGCCCCTAAGAAAATGTTGGGGCAGGAATCAAGAATAAACAAATGGGTTTTTACATAATTTCTGTATGTATTTGATATATAGATCAATATCTGTACAAATTTAATCTTTTATTTTCTTGGTAATTTGTGTGGTCAGTGAGAGAGTATTTAAAGCTTTCTCATGCAATGTACATAACTCAGTGAAAAAATGCTTTTGGAAAAATTAATGTTACTTTCATTTTTACAAGACTGCAGATTTTCAGCATGGATGTGAAAAGCATTAAAATCATAACTTTGTGTACAAGATGAAAATAATTCACTAAATTTGCCTTTTTTACACAAAATAAAAATGATTAAAAGTCTTTTTCTGAATAGTGATCGTTTTGCTTAAAACACTCTTAACTCTATTAAAAATACCCACAATCTGTAAAAACATGAGTATTTTACAGAATTTTAAAGTATGTTGGTGTGACAACACTGAGCACAAAGTAAGGAGTTAGATAAGAAAATGTGAATTAAATAAGCATTTCAGAGAGCAAGTCTCATTTCATTTAGTGTTAATATTTGTGTAAGGAGGAAAATCTTGTGGTATCCCTTTTTTCCTCTAGCTGCCTTGGAAGTAGCTCTTCCCTCCCTTCAGCTCTCCCTCTGCAACTTTGCCACTGCTTGAGTCCAACAGCTGTGGCAGGGTCATATGTCAGAGGCTCCTGAATGACCAAAATGAATTTCTGAGTATTTGGACAGGGGTCTGTGGTAAGTGAATGCACTACAAGGAAGTAGTTCACACCCATTTATTTGACAGTCACTTTCAGCACTAAGGTAACTGCGCTTGCTCCCAGGGCAGCAGCTGGAATGAGATGAGGTGGTGGAAGGCACGAATCCCTGTGGGAACCCATCACTCATAGATCCAGTCGTGAGCACAGGGCTTGAAGTCGATGAGCTCTGCGGGTTTGAACCACAGGTTGATCTCCTTCTGTGCACTCTCCACAGAGTCGCTGCCGTGGATGATGTTCCTGTGGAAGGAGACAAACATTGATCCCTATAAAAATACACTTCCAGCAGCTTTGTTCTCCCTTTGCAAAAACGTGAATGAAGCATCTAGAGAGGGAGACTAGGCTGTTATTTCAGGCAGTGTTCCAATACCCTCACCCCTCCAAGAGCTAATTATGCCTACCAGGGTCACTCTACTGTTCTACAACAGCTGCTGGCAGAGCTTACATGCTGCTCTGGGGAGGAGCTGGACTGCAAAGTCAGCTTTGTACCACTTTCCTAAGCAGCAGGTATGCACTGTGACCTGCAAATGAAATACCATCAGACTGAGGTCTCTATCACCAATTCTGGCTTTCTAGAATAAAAGACTGCCAACAATTTTTGTGTTGGCAGGTAAATAGTGAGTAGGAGCTGCTGAGTTTTTAGTATCAATTAACAGACTTGAGTACAAACCTTCCCACTTGAATGCAGAAATCACCACGGATGGTGCCAGGCTTGGAGTCTGCAGGGTTGGTTTCCCCTAGCATGACTCTCACAGTTTTAACCACGTTGAGTCCTTCCCATACCTTAAGATAAAAAACACAAAAATTCTCTTCAGCCATGCTTATGCAAAATACTGACAATTCATATTTGCTCTACCATATTCTGCAAAGAAACAAAGGCTCTACCATTAAAGATAATAACCTCACCTAGATCATCTCTTGGGCTTGTACAGGTGACAAGGGGAAAAAACATATTAACTGGAAGTAATTGTAAAAAGGACTATCAACATTCTTACTGGAGTGAAGGAGATACTTTACCAAGCCTCAGAGTTGATGTACAAAGCCACCTCCCAACCCTTTGTGTTGTGGTGGAATGGGGACACCCTGCTGAGTGTTCTCTCCTAGTTCATTATCACAACAGGAGATGCTACTAGAGCACGTACCTTGTTTTGAGGGAATGTAAAAATGAATGACACACAAGTTGGGTTTTTGTGTCAGAGAGCCTGACCTTTTTTTGCCCAAAACAGATTTTTTGGTGCAGAAGATTTGCTTTCAGGAATTTTGCTTTATAAATTTATATATTAGGCATTTTAATACCCATTTTATATGTGCACTTTGCTTATTATATTGTAATTTCACTGTCTTAATTTTAATTAAGTTTTTTTTTTGCCACTTTTGGAATTAGGTAGTTTGCAGAGTATCTCTGAATATTCTTAATAATTTACAGAGCGAAACGAATATTTTCAAGAAAGTAACCTTAAATGAAAATCAACTTACCATGGCCACAATAGGTCCAGAGTTCATGTATTTAACCAAACCAGGGAAGAAGGGGCGGTCTTTCAGGTCAATGTAATGTTGTTTGAGAAGGTCTTCAGAGGCCTTTAAAGGGACAGATGTAACTTTAAATATAATTTTCTGAATATCATTGAACAAAAATTGTTACAGGTGTAAGACTGTGGTGTTAGTGATTAGATTCACTGATAATGTTACCAACAATGCTGCAGTGCTATAGTGGCTATCAGCGGGAGCTCCTGCTGTAGCATTAAAGGAGCTCTTTGTGGCTGTGCTGAGGATTGTCAGTATGATTTCTTGGCACGGCAGCGAGCCTCTGCGATAAGCACAGCTCAGGATCCCGGGGTGCTGTTACCCAGCACAACCTTTCAGCCAAGGCCATCCCAGCTCTCAATCGGGCTGCATTAAACCTCTGAAGCAAGATTCGGTGTTTTTGGAGATAAGCCACGCGGCGGGCAGGAAGGAGGGCCGGAGGCGCTCGGGCACATCCGCCCATCCGCTCGGGCTCTGCCGCAGGAGCCGCAGCGGAGCCGCGGTGGGTGCGGGGTGGGACGGGGCTGGGGCGGGGTGGGACGGGGCTGGGGCGGGGTGGGACGGGGCTGGGGCGGGGTGGGACGGGGCTGGGGCGCGGCGCGGGGGCACTCACGTGTACGAACTTCATGGCCACGAGCCGGAACCCTTTCTGCTCGAAGCGCTTGATGATCTCCCCGACCAGGCCGCGCTGGACGCCGTCGGGCTTGATGGCGATGAAGGTGCGCTCGCCGTTCCCCGCCATGGCGCTGCGGGCGGGAGCGCGGCGTGAGCGGGAGCGCGGCCTCAAGGTCGGGGCGGCCGTGGCGGGACCGCCCCGCCACGCGGCACCGCCACGGATCGGCCCATGGATCGGCCCGGATCGTCCCACGGATCGGCCCCGGATCGTCCCCGGCCCGGCCCCACCGCACCCCTCCGCCCGCACCCCCGCACCCGGAGCGCGGGGCCCGCCCGGCCCGGCCCGGCCCGGCCCGGCCTCACCTGCCCGGAGCCGCCGCCGCCGCTGCCGCCCGCGCCGCCGCCGCCGCAGGAAGGGCCGGAGGAGGCGGGCCCGCCGCGCAGCCCCCGCCCCGCGCACAGGCGGAGCCGCCGGAGCGGCGGCGCTTCGGGGGCGGCACCGCCAGCGCCGAGCGGAACCGGGATCGCACCGAACCGAACCGAACCGCAGCGAGCGGCCGCTGCGGGCCCGGCGGCCGAGGGGCGGCTCTTGGCCAGGCCCGGCCGCACCTGTCGCCTCCGCCTCCGCCTCCGCGAGGGTTATTTACAGACGCAGCAACTGTAGCTTAAGCCTGCACTAACACAACTAAATAATTTTTTAGTATTTTTTTTGCTGGGTTGGCTGCTCTCAGCTGACCCCGCCGCCTGAGGGTTGGTCCTGCCAACCGGGCTGCACCGCACAGCACGGCCACAGCTCCTCGAAAGAATATTTGTCACAGAAAAGTGATGTGGAATCTGTAACACAGGAACATCATTGGTAATTTTATTAGGAAGATGAAGCCGCCAAGTGTCAAAACCGCACAGTCCTTGAAGTTGTGTCACAACATGAAGCAGGGAGCGTGTTGTTACTTTTTATGATGTTCACTACTTGGCCCTTTCCTAGTTGATAAAGCACCTTTGCCTCAGCAAGTTATAATCACACACCATCGCTGCAGCTGAATATCAATGAAATAAGTTCTCCAGTCCTTGCGCTGTCTCTTATTGAGAGGCCAGTTAGTGTTTTCTCAGGGTCAGTTAGTGGTTTCCACTGGACCTACTCAGGCACCTCAGCCATGCAGGAATGCTGGCCTCCATCTCTTCCCAGTCACATCGCGTTAGAAACACTAATCAGCAGCTTCCTGACAGCCCCAACACCTCCAGATAAACCACATTTCTCTATTTTGCAGAACTGAGACATCTCAAGTAACCTTTCAAGCAAAGATTAAACTGCAGACTACTCATCTCATGCTTAGGTTTGTCACATAGTCCCTTTCCTCCAAATTCTTTTAACCTAATGATTTATCTTCTGTAACACTGAATATTTTCAGAAGAGAAGCTCACAACCTCACCTACAGCTTCACAGTTAGAGAATTTGTTCCCCCTCCTTATACTCATGAATTAAATATAAGACAAAATATTTTCAATTTCATTTTATTTCCCTTAAGAAGCAGCAAATATTGTTTTATTTTGTGCCATCTCTTATTAGGTGCTCGATACCACCATAAGGTATCATAGGCTTTCAACTTTCACTGCATAGTTCAGTATTCAGATGCAAGAATTCACTGTGTGGAAAAAAAAATCGTAGAGCTTGAGCAACTGATTCCATGAAACTCTTCCTCGTAGTGAATAAAATGTTGCAGGGAAATAAATACATATTATCAATCCACACTTCCTCATCCAGTACATCCAGGTTTTGCTGTTGAAACTGAAACACCTTCTGCATTGTTATGACTCTACTTCTTTACATCATTAAATAAATACAAAATGATAGTGATAAAGTCACTTCTGAAACAACTTATCCGAGGACCATTTGCTTTGTAGTTGCAGCTACTGAGGAAACAACACTAATGAGAACACAACTAAACTATCAGCTGTTCAGCTGGCAAAGCAAACACCACTTACTGCTCTGTGCAGTATCAGAGAGCTCCTGCACTGAAGTGCTAAAGGTAGAATCTCCCTCATCCATCCTCACATTAATCTTCTTTTCACATAAAAGGACATTTCATCAAGCCTGGCTGGTTAATCTGTCCTTAAAATACTACATAAATCCCACGTGGAAGGAAAAAAAAGCAAGTTGAAACAGTGTCAGTGTGGAGGCCAGTTGTCATTTTAGCCAGAGTTGAATTCTTTATGAGCACAGCATGTTCTGGGGAGAGAAATGGGCTTTTTTTCTGTAGCTGTTTTAGGAATGGGGACACACTTGATATTAAGTAAATCCTCAACATTTGAGCATATTATCAATGCATTTACACACCATCAGTTGTCCCCTAATGTTTTAGCAAAGTTAATCTCTGACTCTGAGCCATTTGTGTATTTATTTACCAAATAAATTTTTACCCATTTTTTTGTTTTCCAAAACACTCTCTGTGACTATCAAATGCTTCAGAAAAATATGTTATCTGTTGTTTTCATCTCATATCTCTCAATCCCAGAAGCAGATTTTAAAATGTGCAATTCATCTATAGTTTGACAGCTTTTAAATCAAAGGAGCAGCAAGCACTGGCTCTATTTAACATCCACAACAGAGCAAACTCACTGTATTCTGAGGTTTCTACCAGGGAATTCTTTGGAATAGCTAGAGGCTGGCAGCTGCTCGTGGACATGGGAATATCAGAAGATCCAGGCTGGGTGTTAATCATAGATCCACTCATGAGCACAGCTTCTATAATCAACCAGTTCTTCAGGAGTGAACCATAAATTGATCTCTGTCTCAGCGCTTTCCACAGAATCACTGCCGTGAATGATGTTCCTAGGAAAAGTAAAAGTGAAAAAAAGAGTAAAGGAATTCTTAAAGTAAAGTAAGCTTCTTGTTTTGAAGTGATTCCTAATATGGACAGAAGCTTTAAGTAGCAATAAAGTAGGAAAAGACACAGCATAGGCAGTGCCAGCTTTGCTTATTTTTGTCAATGGGAACAACTATTACTTGATCCCCATCCTTAGATACTAATATGTCATGGGCACAGGGAATGGCAGCTCCCTGTGTAAGACAGAGAAGGATGGAGCACAGTTCCTGTAGATATCATGACATAACACTTGGCATTTAGTGCTTTTGGATGATACCAAATGTTTTTAAATTTACTTTCCAACTTGGACACAGAAGTCCCCACGAATAGTGCCGGGCTTGGAATCGAATGGATTGGTTTCCCCCAGCATCATTCTTCCAGTCTTAATCACATTAAGACCTTCCCACACCTTAAAGAAAAAGAAATCCATTCAGATTATTAAAGTTAGCAGCAGATAACTTTTATCATCCACGAGAACACAGGGCTGTCCATCATGGCACAAATCACCATCTGAACATTTATCACAGTGAGACAAATTTCTTTCAAATTCTTCTGTCAGATTCTTGAAGCATCTGCTCACATGGTCCCCTTCTATTCAGTACCCCTCCACACCTAGGGTGGGGAGAGAACAATTTTCCATCTCAGTTTGTCAGTCTCACACAGAGCTGTCTGCTCATGGGAAAGCTTGGCCTCAACTGTTTTACAAATACATTATCAAGGAGAAAAAGAGAACTAAAGTTTAAATGTTCCACCGTCCTTTTTCAGCTTCCTTACTACATGGCATTTCAGGATGGGACTTTTGTGCTGGTTTACTGTTTCTCAAGGTCATGGTTGTGATTCCTTTCTGCCCCTGCCATCTTCCTCAAAAAACTGACTCAAAGGAGAGAAAGATTATGAGAAAAGATTAAACAAAAATAGTTAACAGCACATCTTCCTCATCACAGTATTTGAATCCAGATTTTAAAATCCTTTAAAAAATAAACTAGAATTCAACTAGACACAATCTCATTGCAGGGAAGACAATCAAGCAGTGTGGTTTTCCTTGCCAGGAACTCACCATGGCTACAATAGGTCCCGAGTGCATGTACTGCACCAGGCCATCGTAGAATGGCCGGTCCTTGAGGTCGATGTAGTGTTCCCTCAGAAGGTCCTCAGAGGCCTGGTTTAAAAACCAGACAGAGAAAAAAGCTTACAGTAAGAGCTTAGTGAAATCACAGAGATAAACCACAGAGCACTGGTAATGCCGGAACCTGCACGCACTTAAAAATTCAGTATTTCTAGCACCTTCCTAGGAGTACTTTTGGTTGATATGTATTTGAACTGTTTGCTTAACCACAACTAACTTAGAAAAGTTTTTGTTGCCAATACAGGCAGTTTATGTGACCCGGGATTTGTGAGAGATAATCAAAGATATCTATGTGGCATGGGATGCACCTGAAAGAATACTCTCTTCAGACTAAGGGCATCAAGTTACTAAAATTAGTGTGCTTAGCATGTCTAAAGCATTTAGCCAGAGCTGGGAATTGGAACTTTTCCAAAAACATTCCAAGTACGACTTCTCAAAATTTCACTTTTAAATGTTACAGAGGCCACATTTGTTGTTATAGGATGCTGCTGTATTTGAAGGCTACATCTTTCAAATATAAAAAAGCAGACACAGCAATTGAGGAGAGCTTACATGTATTAATTTCATGGCTACCAGTTTGAATCCTTTCTTCTCGAAGCGTTTGATGATCTCCCCCACCAGCCCCCTCTGGACCCCGTCGGGCTTGATGGCAATGAAGGTGCGCTCATCAATTGCAGCCATGATCCTGAGGAGGGAGAGAATAAAATGTGTTATTCCAGCACTGTGCAATCCCAGCCCATCCCAGCCCTGTCTGCTATAAGTGTGATTAGATTTGCTGCATCTGAGGGTCAGTAATCCATGGTCTCCAGTGTTTGGACAAACCAGCGACCACACACAGGTTTTCCCAAGTGCTGCAGGAGTGAGTTTGAAGCAGAGGAAGGGTGCCAAGCATAGGAACAATCAGCAAATACTGAAATCAGAAAAACTTTGAATGGAAAGGAAGGTAATGATCACCACAGATCCAGCTTCCAGTGCCGTGCAATAAATTAATAAATTAGTACACACACAGAGTTTTCACCTGGAAACCAGCGGGACCAGAGGGGCTCCGAGCCCCACGCTGGAGCACACCTGAACGGGCAGGTGAGGGATGCAAGGCTGCGGGGAGGCTCCGCGGTGACACTGCCCGGGGACAGGGGGACCCTTCCCGCTGCCCCACAACTCGGCTTACCCACTGGTGGCCCGGCGGCTGTGGCAAACGGTGTCCCCCGCTGGTGGCCCGGCGAGTGTGGCAGCGCGAACACCCTGCTGCTCCCCGGCTGTCTCGCAGCCGTGTCCGCCGCTGTTTCAGCGGTGGCTCTGTCAAGCCGTGTCACCGCGGGTTCTCACCCGGTTTAGCCGTGCCCCCCCGCACGGCGCTGCCGCGGCCACAGCGCAGTGTCCCGCCCGCCCCGGGCACCGCCACCGGCCCGGCCCCTTCCCCGGGGACCGGGCACCGATCCCGGCCCCGATCCCCGCCCGGAACACCCGCACCCACCTGCGCCTCTTCCCTCGGAGCGGGGTGCCGGGTCAGCCCTTCCAGCATTTCAGCCTTGCCTGCTGGATCGCGGCTTCTATCTAACAAAAGGCACGTAAGGTTATTGTAATAAATTCTCGTTGTCGTACTGTTCTGCTTGTACTTCCTCTTAAAAGGAGGTAATTAATTTTGTTTGGGTTTTTTTTTTTTTCTGGTTATACTGTATTAGCTCTTTGAGTCAAAAGACCTTTCAACCACCTACCACTGAGCTGCTTTGCCTTGACCATTTTATTGCCCTCAAGAGAATTGAGGATAAAGCATCTGGATGGAAATCCATGCTTGTCCTGGTTTTGCTTCCAAACTGAGATGAACCTCCCGGGCTCCACTTGGCTGTTCTTGAAAGCAAACAATGAAGATTTTGCTTTCCTCTAGGCATGACTTTGCTGCTTGACAGGGAAAAGTTCAGCTTTTTGGTAACATGGATTTCCTTATTTGGGATCCCTTGTCTTCACTACATTCCATCACACATCCATGTGGTACTTTTAGTTCTGGCGAGAGACTCCAGATCTGACCTAAACATCAGTTCAACCAACTTGCTTTCTTGTATTCAGGGTCTTTTTCCAACACACTTTCCAAGAGCTCTGATTTGATGTTTTAAAAATCACAATGTCATACATTCTAGCAAGTCCTCCTTGAGGTTATTTTGGAATTAGAGTTTCTGAGTAGCCTCCTGACAATGCAAATCCAATTTATTCTCTTGCTTTGATACATATTTATTTAAGATGTTTCATACTACTTAAACAAACTCTAGTGCTGTAATCCTCACTATGGCAAAATAATAAATAACAATAGAAGAAAGGTCTCCAGAAACAGGATGTTTACAAAAATATCAAGTTTAAAGCAGCAATAGGACATCTATTTACAGTCTTGTTAAATCTACGTAATTTAATGATTAAAGCTTAGGACTTGCCCGAAGGTGGGCAAGCACGACTTCCAGCTTTACCAAAGGTCTGTTCGGTGATCTGTGCCAAGTCTTTTAACCTCATTAAATAAGGGTTAACTCTGCCACTTTTGAGATTAATCCATGATTAGCAGAGCAAGTTGTTACTGTATAAATAAGCTTTTGTTGGTTGCAAATTTTACCAAGATCATTTAATTACATTGGAAATTACATGTTTATCTAAAATGTGAAGAAGTAGAGTCTAGACAAATCATTTCCAAAAAATGGACTGATCACGGGAGAGAAGTAAACACCTCCAAAGTTCTCAGTGAGTGAACGAAGTGTAACTGCTGAGCTCAAACCACTTCCACATTACTTAAAACCAGTAGAGATTTTTAAAACAGGCCTGAGACAAAGAACTGACTGTGAATGTCTCCAGACTTAAGGAGAATTTAACACAGCTCCAGCTTTGCTGGTTTGGCCCCAGCTTTAGACTGGTCTCAGCTCACAGCCTCTGTTTGTATCACCCAGAATACTTGGGGTTCTCATCAAAACTCATAATTTATGCTGTGTCCCTCTTGCTCCTTGTAACCAGAGTCCTAACTCTGAAATGCTTTGTTGCTCCAGGATATCCTACTCTTCATTTAGCTGAGTGCTGCTATCATTGATCATTCACAAGCTTGTGAATGTCTTTATCTTGATTTCTGTTGTGTTTTAAGATACAAACCACTATAGAATTAAACTTTCACAAAAATTTCTTCCTCTGGGAAAGTGCCAGTTAAACTCTTCTAAACACGGAGTGATCCGAGGGCTGATTTCCTTCCCTGGTAATTACGACTCAATTTACTTGGTGGAGGGGGGGGTTAGAGGCATGGGAGAATTGTGTCTTTTGGGTGTGTGGACCCAATGGCCTGGCACACCAGAACCACAGAAATATGAAGCTTTGGTTGATCCTGGTGCACAGTGCACGTTAATCCATCAGGACATGTGAGAGCAGAACCTGTTTGCTGCTGGGGTGATGGGGGATCACAGCAGATGACCCTGTTGGAAGTTGAAGTGAGTTTGACTGGGAAGTAGTGGCAGAAACCTCCTATTGTGACTGGTCCAGAGGTCCCTTGGATTCTGACATAGATTTCCTCTGGAGCAGCTATTTCAAAGCACTTTAAATACCAGCTTGGGAGGATGACGATGTCTAAACAAGACTCACAATAAATCCAATATACAGGGCTGGAGTGTTTTCTTCTTTGTCATTCCTGCGCAGACTCACTGGCTCAGTGCATGAAGAGACAAGGCAGCACATGTATTTAAAGCACAGTTCCTGCCTTAGAACAATTCCAAATAAGAGAAAATTAAGTGCAAGGCTCTGCTGCTCTCCAGTGGAGCTGAATGCAATCACCACAGTTAAAATTCCATCTCTTCTCAAGCTTTCTGCCCCCGCTCCCGCGGACCGCATTTTCCCCTCACGCAGCCCCGGCCCCGCCGTGACGTCACCGCCCCACCCCGTGACGTCACCGCGTGGCCCCGCCCCGCCCCGCGCAGCCCCGCCCGGCGCGGCGGGTGAGGTCAGAGGCGCGCGCCGCTCCCGCCCGGCCCTGCCGAGGCTCCGCCGCCGCCGCCGGGCGCCGCTCCGAGCCGGGCCCCGCTCCGAGCCGGGCCCCGCCAGGCCCCGCGCAGCCCCCGCCGCCATGGAGCTGGCGGACGGCGTGGTGTACCAGGAGGATCCCGGCGGGCCCGGCCCCGCCATGATGTCGGAGCGGGTGTCGGGGCTGGCGGGCTCCATCTACCGCGAGTTCGAGCGGCTCATCGGGCGCTACGACGAGGAGGTGGTGGCCGAGCTGATGCCGCTGGTGGTGGCCGTGTTGGAGAACCTGGACTCGGTGTGCGCGCACAGCCAGGAGACCAGCGTGGAGCTGGAGCTGCTGCGGGACGATAACGAGCAGCTGCTCACGCAGTACGAGCGGGAGAAGGCGCTGCGCAAACAGGCCGAGGAGGTGAGCGCGGCGCTGGGCCGGGCGGCCGCACCTCCCGGGCCTGCCGGGGCACGGCGGCGGCGAGTCCCGGGTGCTGGAGCTGCGGGCCAGAGCGGCTCGGCAGAAGGATGAGGAGGCAGGAATCCCTCCCGGTCCGTGCGGCTCCGTGTGTTTGCCATCCCTGAGCCGCTGCGGAGCGCTGCGCTGCCGCCGGGGCCGCGGAGCGAGCGGGAACCGGGCGCTGGTTGCGCTGTCACGGCCGCGCGGGATGCTCCCGGCGGAGGGAGGCGGGCTGTCCGTTTCTGCGGAAATACTGACAACGCGTTTGGGAATACGCAGTGTCTAGGCTGAAGCTTTCAGAGCTGCTGCTTAAAGCTGCGGGCAGCAACAGGTGGTGTGGACTCTCCAGTGACGTCGACTCTGATTTTGGATGTTAAATGTTTTTATTTCAGTGTCTGTACCAAGAATCACTTCACCATAAACAAGCTTGTGAGGCATTATCTAATGTGATATTATAAAGCAATAGAATGGGAAGCAGCTGTGCAGGATAACTTCCTCCTGCTCATTGTCTTGCCAAACTCCTGGAGGAAATTGGATTGGCAGCATTATCTGTTTAACATTAACAAGCCATCTTACAAGTGTATTTCCAGACCCCTTGTCCTGTGCTAATCTCTCTGGTTCTGTTTGCCTTCTAAATTTTCCAAAAATCAGAAGAACAACCGCACTGAGGGTGAGCACAATATTAACGGTGAAAGCTTAATTTAAAAAACATTAGCCCTGTATAAATACTTGTTTGTTTCTAAGTGAGTGCAAAATGTTATTTACAGATTATTCCAGGACTCAGTTTGTTGTGAAGGACTGTGGTCCAGCTCCTGGACTGATAGAACATTCATCCTCCTTATCAAACACATGGTGGTTTTATGATGCCATATAGACTCCAGTTAGGGGACTGGAGTTGCCACACTATTTCTGACACAATGTAAAAGGGTCTTTTAGAAAATATGTTTACATTGAGAATAATAGGAAGGGATTGATAAATACTTTCTGAACTAATTAATGAGAAAACCCATCAGGCTTGAAGCACAGGCAGCATTTGCAAGATCAAAAAAACAGACCTTGGGCAGCAGGACAGAAGCCGTACCAATGTGAGGAAACAGATCATGGGGTTCAGTTTGTTGTTGTAGCTTTTCAGGAACTGTATGTGCCTGTATTGGTTGTGTGCTTCACTGCCATCTCCACTTCTCTGTGTCATGATAAATTAACTTGAGAGAACAGGCTATGTGCAGTTGAAGAACCAGCATTCATACTGCAAGACACCTGGCTGATGCTTTCCAAAGTGCAGTTAGACCAAAGACTGCATTTTCGTGGTAAGCACAAAGGTCATTTTTGTGATGTGCTGAGGTCATTGCACTGTACAGGTGTGGAAGTGTTAGGTACAGCCTGGTGTATTCAGGAGAGGCATATGTGTTAGGCATGGTTGTTGAATTATTTTTTTGATGCTGAGATAACCTGATGGGTGCAATATGATTGAAATAAAAGGAGGAAACAGAAATTTAACACTATTTTCCTTGGATAAAAAGTTGTTGGCTTAGCACATTTCTTTCGTTTGGAGTTTGCCTGTGTCATGTAGTGGCAAAATAGAGAATTTTGAGCTGCTGAGTTCCACGTTTAATGTCATCTGTTCATAGAATCACACAATGGTTTGGGTTGGAAGGGACCTTAAAGTTCATGTCACAGACAGGGACACTGTTGCAACACCAGGCTGCTCCAAGCCCTGTCCAGCCTACCCTTGAGCACATCCAATATGAGGCAACCACAGCTTCTCTGGGCAATTAACACACCTTCTTCTACTTTCTGCTTGTTGTTATAGGAAATTTATTTGTGGCAGTATCTTAATGCACATTAAATAGTTTACTATTTGGGTAGGTGTCTCCTTACCCCATTTTTGTAATTTGCTTTCTTTATTTCCTGTGCTTAAAAAGTGTTACTAAAAAATCTTAAAAGTGCCTGTGGATTTCTGGAATAATTTTTTTTACCATCACCTTGACAGAAGTTCTGGGCCTACTTTTCAACCTTCTGGGTACAGTTTTGATCTTTGTAGTTGCTGCAAAATCACTTGTCTGACTTTTAACGTATTAGGTTTTTTGATATTGCTGTAGGAATGGAGGAACCAGCTGCTCTGCTGTTCTCTTTCCAGTTCTTACCTTTCCACTTGGTGACTGTGAGGTAGCAATGCCTGCCCCAAAGAAGTGGAAGAGGAACCAGCATTTGTGCTTTTGCTGTTGTATACCCTGATAAGAGTTACTTATGCAGCAATGTGCTGTTTCAGACCTGCACTTGTAGCTGGCATGTGTTTTGTGTGCACTTGGGAAGAGGATAAAAATCTACTCCATTTAGCTATGCCAAATTAGGATATCTTTTAGCTTTTCTGCTGCTGGTGGGATTAAGCTGTTTTTGAAATCTTTGGCAACTGTGAAAAAGGATTTACCACTACTAAAATTGGTTTAAGTCATAGCATAAACTTGATGTCTGCTTTTTCTTGCTGTTCCCAGAGGTAACTTTCTTTAGGATTGTATGTTGAGTAAACACTGTGCAGTAAGAGTTTAAGTATTTTTAATTTGAGAGAACAGAACCGAGATGCATTTTACAGAAAACTTTCACTCTGTTTTGTGGCTACCAGGTTGTTTTCCTTTTGACGTGTTTTTCTGTCCTCCATGTCCATCTGAACTGGCTTTTTTCCTCCCTTCTCCAAGAAGAACTTGCCATTGGCTGAGAATCTGTCATTGTTGCAATACACATTGCTGAAGGACGTGTCACAGAGTAGTAAAGATTGCCAAGTAGTAAAGATTGCCAAGACCCTGACATCAGATCTGCTTGGCATTGCTTCTGGGTCCTGTGACAGGAAAACCAGTCAAGATATAAAGAGACATAAGACGACATAAATATAGGAAGAGATATTTCATTTGGCTAATAATGTGCTACTGAGTGCTTCAGTGGTTGTGTGTAGGACAGAGGGTTCCAAATGTGCTGGGCTGTTGTGTAGTCTGAGTTCTTATTTATTCCAGAGATCTCTGCAAGCTTTCAAATAGATTTAAAATTGATCACATAAAGATCTTTGAGTTTAGTTTGTGAGGGACTTCTTCACAGTTTTTATATGAGGTGTTTGAGAACAGGTTGGACAAAGATCTGAAATGACACATGTGATCCTACCTGGAGAAAATGGGATGGATTAAATGGGAGTTGCCAAACATGCCTGGTGAAGGTATTGCAGGTTGGGTTTCAGTTGCAGGCACATGGAGGAGGAGCTGTGCATCACATCCTGTGTTACACCTCATCAGAGCCTAATCAAAATGAGGATCCAAACATCCAATGCTGAGCATCAGAACCTGGAAACAAGATGACCTTTTAAGGATTATTCCAGCTGTATTTTCTGTAATCTTACATAATCTGGTCTGATTGTTTTAAAGACAGGTTGGTGTCCTTCAGCTTGCTCTTAAAAAAAAAGTACCAAAAATCTCACTTCTCACACTTCTCAATAGAGTTGTAAGATATATCTTTGTGGCCCAAACAGGACATCACTTAAAATGGGGAAAACTAGATTTTTGTCTGCCGCAGTCTTTTGAATAACCAGTAGCTGGGGCTGAGATGAGAGGATGACTATTGAGTGCCTAACGTTTTCCTACATATGCTGCTGGATTTACGTTAAACAGTGCAGGAGATAAGTAGTGTTTGAGTGTATTGTCAATGTAAATGGAAAAAAAAGTATTTTAATATGGGTGCTCAGACTGTCCTTGGCTGCTGTGGTGATTTATCTAACTAGTTCTTCTGTCATACTTATGCAGGCTGAGTCAGGGTGTGATGATCAATCTGCTGGGGCTGTACCTGTGATTATACTATCACCAGACAGAGAAATGAAACCAAATAAAAATATTCAAAGTCCAAAGTTCTCAATCCCAAGATCTGATCAAGTATAGTTTACAGCAGGGGAGGGAAAAATATTCAGCTGTAATTACAGAATTGCTTTAAAGTATAGTAAAGTAGATTTGAACTTTAACAAATTGAAGGTAAACTAGTGGAAGGTAACAAAACCATTCTAGGCAAGACTAGTTTTTCCACTTGCAGTTGAAGAACTTGAGAGGAAATACAAAATTATATCTATCTGTAGTTTCATGAGTAACAGTGACATTAATGGCTCTGAGTGGCTGTTTGTTATTCATGAGTATAATTGTCCCTGGCCTTTAGCAAGCTATGACACATTTTTGGGAAATCATCAGAGAAACAACTAAACAAAGATGTTACAGTTCTATAATTCTTATTTCATGTTTTCCCATGTTTAGTGTAACAAACTTCCCATGTTTAGTGTAACTTTAGCCCCAGTGCCAAATTTGCGTCAAACTTTGAAGCCCTTTTTGAAAAGGGAGTCTGCCAAGAATAGGCCAGACATGACTTGAATATTAAAGGGGCAAAAGTCTT